CAAAGCGGCTTACACAGACCCCGGGTTTCCCAGTGATAGAACCCCCCCGAAATGGATGGTTTGGTTTGATTTGCGTCTCAAGCCAAAAGGGTAGAGCCTCACCCATGTGAACATGCTGATATCATTAGCTTATAAGTAATGCGGTGGTAAGAACTGGGGCGGTATTGGTTCTGCTCAGCCAGAGGTAGAGCCTCAAACAGGGGGCAGCATAGAGCGGATCCACAGGAATTCGACGATTCAAAGATTGGCTCGCAGGATGGGCCTTGGTGAGGACATGACAGATACGCAGCGACCTCGAGCCTCATCTCAGGGCCGGGTACGGTCCAGTTGGGCGACACCTCATGACATGCTGGGTTTTGAAAGTGCCTTCAACCAGTCACCTGATGCACATGCGCCTTTCTTCCACCTCCAAGCGTGTGTGCTTTCTGTTGGCCCTCCGCAGTTTGACGCCGCTCAGGTCTGGGGAGAACATGTCCTTCGCACTGCAGGCGATCGACCACGTCTACAGGCCCAACTTGGCAGTTCCATCCACCCTGTTTGGCCGCGGGGTCATAGAAGCAGTTTGCGTTGCGCGGAGGGGCGGCACAAACAAGCAAACAAGCCAACCAACACCTGTTGTTATGACGTTTCTTCACGCCAACCCAAAAAACATTGTTACCCTTGCTCCCACTAACATGGCACCTGAGGGATGGTACCTGGAAGATCAGTTTCCTCTTGGAGGGACTCCCTGTCAGGTGCCATGTTAGTGGGAGGGAGGGTATGCTGTTGTTTTTTGCACGGGGGTTTTGGGCATTCCTTGAAGCCGTCGACCGAGCAGGTGCGCAAGACGGACGCTGATCCTGGCCAAAAGCGGCCGCCTTGGCCTGCGTGTCTGTTTTTATTGGGTACCTTCTTCGGGGTTAAGGAAAAAGAAGAAGCATTTGGGTCTGGTGGGGGAACCCGGAATGAGACACCACCGGTGGGTACCTTCAAATGGGGACCTTCAAGAAAGACCTCTTGGGGTTTTAGACAAACCCAGGCGGTGACTATCAGTACCAGCTCAACGTCTCGCCCATCGTGCAGGCCATCAAGAAGGCCGGCGAAATCTCGGAGAGATCCCACGCAAGGCTTAGCTGGCTTCGCTCGCCTTGGTGGCATTGTGTCCCCGATACCCAAAGAAAGCACCAAGCAGCCTGGACCGGAACTGGGGAAATGGGGGGTAGTGTTAGTACTCTCCATTTGAGAGGAACCACGACGTCAGCCTCAGCTCGTGTAAAGATGGATGAGATCGCACTTTCCAAGTGCCTTAGTACTGTGCATGGTTGCCAAATCCAGGCAACGCACGAGTTTGACAAGCCGCCTACTGGTGCAGAGTGGATTTTGTCCATCTACTAGCAACGGACTCTTTCTTTCGGGATCAGGACGTCTTTGCGACCCTTTTTTTTGGGTGGGCGAATGTGGGTGCTTGTTCGGATCTACCCAAGGGAATTGCGCTTTGGAGGATACGAAGGTTAACACCACGATTTCCGTTGTGGGGAAAAACACATCCCTCACACACTTCTCAACTCTTCCCCACACTGCCCCACTGCTCCGACAGAGACTCGCGCTTTCAGACTGACACCCCACGCGCCCACAGTTTCTCACCACCAAGTTACTGCTGGATGTTGCCCATCAAGTTCCCATGTGAATGTTGCCCTTCCGAGGCCGGGAAGGATTGGAGAGGTGGCAAGCACCTCTGGGAAACTGTGCAGGGCCTCAAGGTCAAGAATAATGCCCCGCGCTCAGCGACTTCCTGAACATCACCCCTCCAGCTTGCACGTATTACAAGTCGTTGACCCTCCCTCCTAGCATGGCAACTGACAGGGGCTCCTTTCAAAACGGAAATGAATCTTCCAGGTACCTCCCCACAGGTGCGATGTTAGTTGGAGGAAGGGTACCTGTTGCTCAGCAGTGAAGCAACTGGCTGGCCCGGGTGAGGCACAGCCATGCAAGCCGCCCGGTCGGCCGAGGATTTGAACTCCGAAGGCATCGTGGAACTACGAAGGCCGGGGGGCGATGTCGGCGTGACATCGTCCATTTGGGGGGATTGTGTTTCTTTTTTTCTTCCGCAACAGCTGTAGCACATCACAACATTTGCCCTGGCCCATTGCAGTGCTTGGGCTGGCGATTTTTTACACTGTGGCAGGGATGCCATGTCCCTTGAAGATAGAAAGACATGCGGCTTGGCAGTATGTGTCAAAAGTGCAAACTCAGGATAGCAAAACATTTTCCCGTGGTTTTGTGGAAGGCCCTCCAAATCTTCCCCTGGTTTCGTGGAAGCAAATGAGGGTCGAGAGCGTTTTCAAAGGCGTAGATGCAGCTCCCTCGGGAGATTTCGCCTGGATGCCCTGTGCAGGCCAAGCGTGACTTCGGCTCAGGCAACCTGACCGTCTCACAGAAATCAATTGGACGCTTGCCGGCTGGACGCAACTGCCGGCTGATTTCAGCGCCGGGCCACGTTTTGGGTGGCTGTTAGAAAGGCGAAACGGGCCAAAGGCGCGGGGTTTTCACTTTCTGGTCCAGGACTGGTGCGCGTGTTCCAGAAAGGACCCGCATCCTTGTCCATGTGTACATTTTGCTGCCTGCATCAATGGGACTGCCAGACAGTCCCTGCTAAACAAGGGGTCATTCGGCGCCATGAAGAAAACCCCGGGCCTCTTTTCATTTTCGTCCGATGCCGCAGCGGGCTGGGAGTGTTTGGAGTTTGGTGCGCAGCCAAAGGCGTTTGCGCCTGGCGGGGCCAGAGGATTTGTTTGAGTCGGGGCACCTCCGGGCTGACAGCCCTGGATTCCGTCGTCCTAATTTTCGGAAGCCCGAAGCGAAAGCGCTTCGAGGGGACCTCCAGCAATATTTACGGGTTGCGTGCATCCGAAAGGAGCCCATTTGCTGGAACCCATATGGGGTCCCCTAATTCAGGTGTCGTGTGTTTACCCTGTGTTTATTGTATTTTCTGCGCCCGGCCGCTTTTAAAGAGAGCTGGCGGGGAGGCGGTTTGACGTGGAGAAAGAGTTCTTCGGGCGGGCGGAAGCATTTGTTCACACTTGGGGGTTCTCGGAAGATTTGCAGTGTCCAGTCTTTGCTCCCGGGCGCAGTGGAACCACCGCCCCCGGTCGGTCAGAATTTCCCGTCGGTGAACCTCGGAACATGTCCTCGTGCCACAAACAGCAGCACGTTTTTCCCCCACCAAAATACCAGCGGGGCACAGATGGGTTACACAGGGAAGCCCAACAACCATGCCCGTTTACGTCCGCTTGGGATATGCAAGTTGGCCCTTGAAGACTTAAAGACCAGTGGCTTTAGTAAGAAGCGCTCGAGCGCAGGCCGCGGGCTCCGTGAGGCAAAGGAGCGGGGTATCTTGCTCGACCCACGCTTGAGCCAAAATGGCGGTCCAGTTGGATATGTGTGAAACAGGGAAAGAAAAAGGAGACGCCTTCTGTACGGGAATCCTTTCCGCTAGCCAAAAAGCGAGTGACAAATCCTTTGGGTCGCAAAGGGTCTCAATGAGAGGCGGGTCAAGCAAAATAGGACCCCTTTTTCATCTACGAAAAGGCCAAGAAGCCACGCAGAAGTTTCACCGCTCTCTGGACACCTGCTGTCAGTGGCCATTCCAATCCAAGGAGGAGATCACGTGGGTATGACATATGGCAGTGGGTCAAAACCAACGGTACCATTTTGGGGTAGGCGCACCACCCATTGTTGTCTATTTTAGTGGGGATTCGGATGTTCACTGGGGGTATGGGATTTTGACCCATGGCCATATAGTTGATTATCTCACTTCTTTGCAGGCTGTTTGCATTAGTGTTCATCGACTCGCCTAGCTACAACATTTCCAGTGCATTATGTGGAATTCTGGGACTGGGCGCTTGCAAAAAGGTCAGAAGACCAACCCTGCAGATGTCTACAGAAGAAACAGCCGACTGGTGCGCGAGTTGGGAAGTTCTGCAGTCTCACTCTGCTAGATGCCGGCGATGCTTGGTCCTGGAAAAAGCTCCTCATTTTTCCACGGAATCACTTTTTTTTGTTGTTGTGGGGGTTTTGCCGTTTGACTCTTTCCAGCATGATGGCCAGAACTTGAAAGCTTGCTTTCGAAGGCCGCCGTTCAATCTTAGAGTGTTCTTTTTTCACAGTTCCCCGCAACCATTTGGACCATTCCTCATTCGAGTGGAGCGTGATCCAGCTTTCCAGGAGCACCAAGCCCCGTGTGTCGTCTTTGTTCAGAATTCTTGTTGAAGGAGTCTAATTGCCAGTCGTTCTGTTCATTGACTGTGGTGTGTTGTGTGTGTGTGTGTGTGTCTACATTCGTGCTTGAGTGCGTGCGTGCATGCTTGCGTCCCTCCCTGCCTGCGTGCATGGGTGTGTCGGTGTGTGTTTGTTGCGATGAAGCCCTTTTTCCAAAGCAAGCCAACATGGAACAGATGTTTGACAAGTGACAGGCATATGATTTTCTGCAAGATCCCCTCGTTCAAATTTTGGACGCCCGACCGGATCTTGATTTTTGCGCAGCAACCAAGGTGCAGCCAGCAAAAACTCCACATGTGGCGTCTCCAATTCTGAGGAAGGCTCATATGAGGGCTTGGTGTCAGAATTTTTACCCCAATGGGGGCCTTTGGGGGAGGGCTATTCCGGGATAAGCCTAAGGACCTTTGCGCTGAAGGCCTTGAGGTGACAGTCCATGTGAGCCACAATCAAAACCACTTAGCTAGATGAAGGTTAGTCAAAACCCGGGGAGATGAAGGTTAGTACAGGACGATCTCAACCATAACTGGGGGTATGCTCAAAAGGTGCGTTGGAGGGTTCTTGGACCTGAATCACCATGGTTCTGTAAGGCAACACTGCGCTACAGCTGCAGTTCTTGTAGTGGCTTTCCTTTCTACTAAGATTCTACTACGGAATGTAAATGAGAGGCCGGTGAATGACCAATGAGCTTTGGGCAGTGGCTATTCTAAGACCGACCTGATTCGCTTCGAATTGGTTCAAACGAGGTGCCTCGAGACCCGAGAAGTCTCCAAGTTGGCGACTGGGCGAGGCAGAGAGTTGGCTTCTGCAAGGGCCGAGGGCCGACTCACGAGAAGATATGATATGTATGTGTATATATATATATATCGGTGGCTCGTTTTCTTTTTTTTTGGTATCCTTTTTTGTGGGCTGAGAGGAAAGACAAAAGGAAAACCAAAGCATTTTTAGTTTGGGGTGCCCTAAAAGAAGGCGCACCCATATATATATAATACCATTAATACATATATATATATATATAAGTGCAGCCCCCCCTCCCCAAACCCGCAAACCCGCGCCTGCTGCTTATGTAAGGGGGGTCAATTCATTTTGGACAGATACTACCAAAAGTGGGCATTTAACAATTTGGCAGACTTTTGCAGACTTTCGCAGAAGACGCATTAAGACTTTGCCATCCATGTAAATAGCATTTGCTCTTGTACGTTCTGAACAAGTTGTTCGTGGTATTCCTCCTCTTGATCTTTCTTTCCAATCATTTCATATAATTATGTTCCGGTCATAAACTCAATGTATTTAAAAAGTTACTTGGAAAAATCACGTCACAAGCAAAGTTTGGTACAGTGTAAAAGCGAAGTTAGGTAACGCGCCATAATATGCGTAGCAGACGTTTTGTATATTGCCACAGGTTTGTAAGTTGACAGACGAAGAGGATTTGCGCATTAGTTGAGATGAGAAATCGAAGATGTGTCGGCGAAGCAGAGGTATGGTTGGCCTATTTGTTTGATACACTTGCGCTGGTACCCTCTCATTGGCAAATCCCTTTCGTCTGTCAGCTCATAAACCTTGGGCAATACCTAAACATTTGCTCACACCTCATATGCCCTGACAGGATTAATTGTGTGGGAATATTTAGTGGCGTTTCGGACCTTTGCATTGCAACGAAAGGCTCATGCTTGCCAGGAAGATCGGAAGAAGAGGGCGCCGCCGGAATGGGCGCTGCAGTCAGTCCAGTTTTGGTTGATGCAATTCATTCGAGCAGTGCCCAAAACCCCATTGGCCGTTTTAGAAGACGGTTCTACTGCTTGGTTTGATGGGATACTAATTAAGGGCTATAAGCGGGCTATATGAAAGCCATCTTAGTAGAAGCAAAAGTCAATGGGTTTTGGGCAATAAGCAAGGTTTGAAGGCTCGGTTTTATGCGTTCCACAGCCAGAGATGCCTCTAAGTCTTTTTGGAGATCCTTACAGACGAAAGGATTACCCTTGGCTGCAGCAGTTCATTGTGTGTGTGTGGTTTGTTTAAGCAACCCCAATTTTTCAGCACACCACGCATGTATCTCAAGACTGTTCGGGCAAGCTTGTTCGACAGAGATTTCTGGATGCCCTTGCATCAGTTTTCTGCGCACGTGACGTCGAGGTGCTGCGAGGCAACCGGGAACGAATTCATGAGGCCGGGCGGGGCACGCGCCCGCCTCGCCTAAGATAGGGAGCAGTGTAGAAGAACTGTCTCCATTCCTCAGGGAATTGTCTCCACTCAACTAACTGCAGGCTATTTTCCTTCTTCGGCCAAAAAGGGGCTGTCATGCCCAGTGATTTCATCCGCAACTCAAACATCAGGGCTCCCCCTTCTTTTAAGGGTCTCACCCGGAAAAAGAACCTGCTCAAACCCCTCAGCTCTTCTTGAAGATGGTGTAGCCCACCCACTTGCCCTTCTCGAACTTCTCGCGCCGCCCTTTCCGGGGCGACAGATCCACCCACAGCCCTCCTCCAACGGACCAGGCAATGGTGCGCTTCGTTCCCTCGTAGCCCTCCTTCTCCGTGTCGAAGAGCTTCACGCGCTCCTTCCTGTGGACCTGGATGCCAATCTCTCCGTGGCCAGGAAGGGGCACATCAATCCACTCGTCCCGTGTCCCCTTAGGCGGATGGGACAACATAACCACCGCGCTCTCCTCAAGGTCCTGAAAGAAAGCGCGCCGCATGATCTCCAGCATGTTCTGACTCGAACCGCCCACAACCCTCCGCGAGATCATCTCCTCTCCATGCGTCCTAGGCCGCTTGTTTGCCGCCCCATCAATGCCACCGCCACCACCTCCGGTAGATGCCGATGTCCCTGATCCAAACGCCGAGGAATCCCCTCCCGTGAAACCAGAGGGCCTTGATCCCGCTTCTCCACCCCCTCCGTTCCCAGGAGGTTGTTGCCCCGGACCACTTGAACTCGAGCTCCTCACTCCGGCTTCGGGCCGCCTCAAGACCCTGAAGTTTGAAGACCCCGTCCATGGCGTCCTCCTCTCCCAGTGCTCTTCTTGCCAATTCTCGACCATCCTCTCCCAGGTCATGCCGTTCTCAGCGTCCGGAGCGATCTCGGAGATCCTGATGTAGTCCAAGTCCTCAAAGTTGATGCCGGGTGGAAGCTCTCTAGGCCTCGGAATGTAATCCCAGTAGCGCGGCACCATGTGAATGCGGGAAAGTCTAATCTCATTCTCGCGGAACTCGACCTCCCATTCATCTTCACCAGGTTCATCCTGCGATGGCCTTTCTGTCACCTCCGGAGGACCATCTCCACCACCGGCTGGTGCAACCTTTCGCAGCCGCAACCCCTCACCCACATTCCCAAAGCCTTTCACCTCCGGCGTCATCCAATTCATAGACGGTCTCCCTGACGAAGCACCCGCCTTCTCGACCACCAACGATCTCACCGAAGGACCAACCTCCTCTGTCTGCTTCTTCACAGGCCCGTCTAACTCCTTCACCTCCTTGATCTTGGCCAGGGAAACCTTCTCCAGCACCAATTGCGCTACCGCCTCTTCCGGCTCGATGACGTAGTCCTGGGATCCATGGTTCCTGACCAAAATCCTCACCTCTCCACGGAAGTCGCGCTCAATGACCGCGGATCCCGTTTCAACTCCTCTCAAAGCCAAGCTGGCCACCGTTGTGATCCTCCCGCACGTTCCTCGGGGTAACTGTGCCTTCACGCCCGTCCTCACCAGCGTGTAGCTCTCCGCCGGCACCACCACTCTGTTTACCGCGAAAAGGTTCACCCCGGCTGAGCTCTCCGTTGGCCTTTCCGGCATCACCGCTTCTGCACAGGTTCTCTGGAACCGCAGCTCTTCCTCTTTTCGCAAGCAGTTCCGCAATGCCACCACTCCAAGCTCCTTGACCAGCTTCAGCAAGATGACCACGGCGACGATCACCACCAGCCACCAGTAGCCACCTCCTTCTTCTCCAAGGTCCATCTCCTTCGCCTCCGTCAGCTCCACGCATGTAGAGGCCACCACCAACAATCCCAGGACTTTCTCCAACCTCCTGTCCCGACTGCCTTCAATCTTCTTCACCTTGACAACCTCCACCGGGCTCTCACCGCTCTCCACCGCCCCACCATAGAAGCCCAATGACTCCTTGAAGCGCCCAAACGGTGAGGCCCCAAGCTGTTTCGTGAAGCCGTCCGCGACCAGACTCTGCCCAGGAACATGTTGAAGCTGGACATCACCGAGCTTGACCGCCTCCGAAAGCGCCGCAGCCCGGATCCTCAAATGTCTCGTCCTCCAGCTTCCCGAGCTCCCGTTGACAATGGCCAGGGCCGCACTACTGTCGCTGTAGAGCCTAAGCTCCGCGGGCTTCTCCTCCAATTCCTCCACCAAGCCACCAACTCCCCTCAAAGCCGTCCAGGCTTCAATGAGCGCCGCTAGCTCGCTTTCCGCCGTACTAAGCGCAATACACGCCTGTCGCGTAGTAGCCCAGAAGACGGGGCAGCCGGAGTAGTACACGGCCAATCCCGAGATCGACTTGTGCTCATGGGCTCCAAAAGAAGCATCCGCGTAGGCCTCCACTGCATCTCGTCGACGTTCACGATGCTGTTGATGGTCCGGCCCATAATCTCCAGCACCAAGACGTTGGTACTGCAAACCTTCCCGGGACGTCCTCCGCAGGTACTGCAGCACCTTCTCTCCAATCCTCGTGACCCCCCGAGGTCTCTTCGTAGTCCACTGCCCCATCACGGCTACCGCATAGGTGATGTCCGGCCTCGTCCTCGAAGAAAGCCACAACAGCTCTCCAGTGATGACTTGCGCCTGCCGCACATCTTCAGGACTCGGGGGCCCTTCCTCCTCCGGAATCCCCACTCCTCCCAGCGTGCCACCCTTGGCGATGTGATGCCGGTCCAGTAGGTCCGCCGTGTAGGACTCCTGATGCATCCGGATCCCTTGCTCATCATGAGAGAATTCGAACCCGCAAAACCGCAGGTCCTCTGTCTCCGACAGCCACTCCGGGTCGCTGGTGTCCCAAACCTGCCGGATCTTGAGCAGCGTCGCCGCCACAGCCCCGCGATCTCCAGTGATCAACAGGTCGTCGATGTAGACCGCCATGTAGCCCACCGTCTCATCTTGTCCGTGCCGACTGCTCTTGATCCTCCACAGATTCACCTCCTTGGTTTTCTCGAACCAGCAAGCCCATGTGCCCTCGTCATCTTCCATCTCCCAGTTGATCGCGCCCATGGTTTCGTCCCGGTGGTTCGCCCAGTCCTTGGGTGACGTAGTAAGGCCGTAAACGGATCCCTCCACCGCCCAAAGCTCTCCCGGCTCAGTGATCTGGCACTCCTGAAAGATGGTGGGAGGGTTGACCACTACGATGTCCTTGGACCGGCCCGGCGGCACTTGCAAGAACGCCGTCTTCACATCGACCCCCGCAAGAGTCCATCCTCGCTGCGCTCCAGCCGCCACCATCGCCCTCACTTGAGACGCGTCAATGCCTCCAGCGTAGGTGTCCGCCGCAGGCCTCTCCGACATGAAGTTTCCACAGGCGACCCCACGGCATTTCCGTCGTCCTGTAGCAGCTTTCCTCGTGAACACCGCTTTTCCCGGAACCCGGTCGTACGGTATGCCCTTCTCCAGCGCCTCCTTCTTGAGCGCCTCGGCTTCCCGCTGATTGATGGCCCGGATCACGCCCGAGTTCAGCAAAGCCGCCCTCTCTTCGACCATAGAAGGCCTCCACTTCTCCACTTCTTTCCTCACATCTGCCAAGGCGTAGGTCTTGGTCTGAAGAAAGACCTCTTCTTCTGTTGCCTTTCTCGCACAGGTCTCCTCAGAGTCAAGATCCTCAGCCTTCTGCATTGCCGCCAGCCATGCCCCCACTCTAGCGTCCTCCTCCGCCAGCATCCCAACGGTCTTCTTCACCATGTCGTGGTCAGCGCCTTGTTCCTCTTCTAGACGCCATTCCTCCTCCATCATGTGCCTCCCCCGGGCCTGACATTCCATCACCAAGGTTCTCAGGTCCGGCTCCCATTCTCGATCTTCCAGCGCAGGCGGCCTCTTGGATGTAATCCTCCTCCGGGGACCACCTCCTCCGGGCCGTCCATCTTCTGCTCCAGCACCACCAGCAAGTGGCCCTTCCTCTTCAGGCGGTTCCTCCGTCTCAATCACATCCGTGGTGTGGAAGAAGTTCCCATCCTCCCCCTGGACGAAGTACCCTCCCGAAGACGCCGACATAGTGACATCCGGCCCCAAGATGGTCACCTCCTCCCTGGTGGCTTCCCAATCCTTGGACCGGTGATTCCATGCCTTGGTCTTCGCCATTGCCACACTCCCGAACGCCCTCAACGGCTTGACCGGATAGTTCATGGCCTCCAGCTGCGACCTCCATCTTCGTTCCCCAGCATGCCGTGCCGCCAACGGCCATAGATTTTCCTCCACGCCCGAGCCCTTGAGCAGCGTCTTGGTCAGCCTCTTGATGAACCCCACCTCCGCCTCGGCCCGCCCATTCATCTTCCATGAGCTGCCGTCAGTGAACGTCCGCATGATGAGGCGTTCCATAGCCCATTTCCTGGCCCTCTTGGACGTGAACTCGCCTGCTCTATCGCTGTGAAGGCGCCGGACAGGTAGCCCATGATAGCGTAGCTTTGTGGTCATCTTGGCCACGGCCTCCAGAGCTTCTCCTCTCGTCTTCACGATCTCCACCAGCGTGAGCTGCCGGACCTCAAAGTCCTCTTCTTTTTCTATCTTCTTCAGCCACTCTTCCCCATCATCTGGAGATGGCTCCTCCTCCTCCTCAGCTGCTTCATCATCCCCCGCAGGGTCAAGCTCCATGTCCTCCTCCCCACGCGGTCCCTCCAGGTCCCCTTCCTCCTCCTGGTAGTAGAGCACCGTGAAGAGGTTTCGCTGCTTATCGATCTCCGTCTGCATCGCCTTCTGATCTTCTCCGACCATGTTCTTGGACTCCAAGATCTCATGAGTGTCCAGGTCCACCGAGAGCCTCCACTTTACGAACTTCCATGCCGGTCCGCCTGCTCCCGTGCCCCTCAACTTCTTGACGTCGTAGTCCCGTTTCCTCCACCTCTTCATCTCCTTCACCGCCTCCGGTACGTCTCCTCGACCAGGACCTTCCAGCCACGCCAGATGCTCCGGGGCCAAGTGCATGAGCATTCGTCCCTGCCGGGTCACCGGAACCGTGTAGGTGCCAACGACGATGTATCGTCCCACACCTTCTTGATCTCGTCCAGGTTTGAAGGGCCCCGCCAGGTCAATCGCCAGCGTGTAGCTCTCAGGGCTCACTACCCTTCGGTGGTATCGCGCCTTTCCGGCTCCTTCCAGGCACGTGCGGCATCCCCGATGAAACGGGAGGTGGTCATTCGCCAAGTGCGCCTTCCATTGCTCGGCACTCAGCCCCTTCAGCTTCACCTGCTCCAAGCCCATGCGAACGGCCGTGGCAATCGCCTTCTTCATCCCTGGCGCCCAAGCAGCCCATTTCTTCGAAGCCGCCATCCGCTCCTCCAAGGTCTTTCCCAGCGGACCTTTGTCCGATCCTCCTCCTCGAACACCGTCCAGCTGCTCGAGCATCTCCATGTTGGTGCCTATCGTCGTAGGCTTCGTCTTTGCGTGGCCAAAGGGCCCCTGATCGAAGTGGTACTCCTTCATCTTGTAGGCCTTCTTGAACCGTTTCCACTCGTCCCAAGCCCAGTACGAAGGATACCGCTCCCGAGCTTCTGCGGCTCTTTGACCTCCTTCCACGTAGGACTCCGGATCCTGTGGATTCTCCGCCAGGAAGCCAACCTTGGACGAACTGGCCTCCTCCGCCACCATGTACAGCAGCATCGGCCTCAACCAGAGCACCGTATCTCCATCCACCTTGTCCATCAGCACCTGAGGAAGTCCATGACGCCCAAAGCGCTCTTCTCCATCTCTCGTCCTTAACGGTGGCGGTCCCGGCTGCACAAACCTCATCCTTGAGATAGTCCGACACGGAGGGCCCGCCAAGATCTGCTTCACCTTTCCCGAAGCACACAGCTCCATCAGATAGGCCATCACGCCGTCCTTCCCAACGTCCTGGCCTTCTCCCAGCTCCAGATCAATGCAAAGCACCACTCTGTCTGCTGTCTCCAACTCCTTCTCCCAGAACTTCGCGTCCGGGCCCGAATAAAGGTGGAGGATGACCTCCTTGGCCTTCTGAATCCTCCTCCTGGTCCGCCTATTCCACGGCAAACTTGTCCACTCCGACCTCGGGGGCAGCCGCTCCAGAATGCGTTCCGGCACTTCAGGAAATAGCTCCCTCAGCCTCCGAAGCCATTTGACCATCTCCAGGCCAACCTTCTCCTCCTCCTGCGTCGTCAACGGCTTCCCTCTCAACGCCATCAACCGCATCTGGTGCTTCAGCGCCTCCAGCTCCAACTCCTTGATGAGCTCCAACCCGAGGCTTTCATCTACCGTGGGGCATCCTCCTTCCAAAGCGGTGTCCAGAGTCCGCCCATGCTGATCGGTCAGCTGAAAGCGGTCCTCTTCCCACTTCACCGAGTAGCCCCTCTGCACCAGGTACCCCAGGGGAACGATGGGCTGGACCTCCTCTGTGGTCAGCAACGTCCTCGTCCACGGGATGAGCCGCAAAGAGACCGTCCCCTGCGCCAAATGCACCTCGACCTCCCGAGCCTCCTCCCACTCTTGTGTAGATACACACTGCCTCAGGCTGTGCGTCGCTCCTCCATCCAGCAGCGCCCTCTTGTTCTTAACCTCCAGGGAGCTCACTTGAATCCTCCTCAACTCAGGACCCCTCAAGCTCTTCAGCAATCCCGCTGCTTCCTGAATGAGTCCCCGCACTGCTTCACCATCACTTCCATCTGACTGTGATGTCTTCCCTGCCCCTGACGCGGGCGATCCTTCTCCTCCACCGGTAGTAGGCGCCGATGCATCCACCTCGACCTTCCTCACGGCCTGGCCCTTCACATCGTTCTCGCTGAAGTTCTTGGCTCCGCCATCTCCATCGCGAGGCTTTCGCACCTTCACCGGGCAGTCCTTGCGGGTATGCGAAGTCCCTCCGCAATTCCAACAGCGTCCACGCTTGTCCCCGTCGAACTCATGCTTGTAGGTGCAATCCGCTCCCTTCTTGCAGCCCCCATCCGTGAGGAAGAACCGGCACACAGGAGACGCCGAAGCATCCTTGCCCTTGCCTTTCCCTCCTCCTTTTGGGCTGTCCTTCCCCTTTTCCCAACCTCCTCCATCCTTGGTCACCAACGCCTTGACCTTTGCGGTTGTAGTAGATGAGGTCGAAGCTCCGTGTAGTGCTGCTTCTCCTTCCGCCAGGACGACGTCCGCCAGCTGCGCCACCGCCTCCAAACTGGGAGCCACGTCCACCCGCAGTCCAGCTCGTGCCGCATTCAGTCTGAACATCGCCTGGCCAGAATGCTTCGTGACCATCCCGACGAACCGATCCAGGGCTCCAACCAGCAACGTAGCATCCGGAATCGCCACCTTCAGCTCACGGGTCCGGGCAAGCCACCTTTTCCACGTCCTCACCCCATCCACCACCTCACTCAGCGTCGTTGGCATCCGCGGCTCAACCAAGCCTCTGAGGAGTTGTGATCTCTCCGCCAGCCCTCCTGGCTGGTACCTTGTAAACACCCGGAACAGAATCTCCCAGGCCGTTGCAGCTCGCTCCGCAAGCACCTCCGCTTTCAACCCTGGTGGCAAAGCAGCCACCAACATGGCCTGTGCCCGCTGAGCCACCCGACTCCAACGACCACCTTCATCTTCCACCGCCCGCGGCCTGATGTGAAGCCGCTGCAAAGGATCCGCCTGCAACCACTGCGCGTAGGCCTCTGCCGCCACTGCAAGCACCTGATCCCACCATGCTCCGGAACTGACAGTGAGGTCCTTCATCACCGGGCTGATCAACATCAGCCAATCCCCCACCACCAATGACCCGAGCTCGCCTTCCTTCACCTCCCCCAATGCCGGCAACTCCACCGTGCGAACGGTTTCTCCAGGCGTCCATCCTCCCATCCACGGATTCATGGCCGCCGCACTTCCACCGGGACCTCCGGGTCCACCAGCGCTATAGGGCCACCCTCCATGAAACCCTCCGCCGGGTAGATGCTGATCTGCATGACGACCAGCCGCACCAAACCCACCTCCTTCGTGCCCCGATGGCTGGCCCTCACCCCGAAGACCCGCATCCTGACGTCCAGTGACCCACCCGTTTCCATAGCCAGGTAGTAGCGCTCCTTCAGAAGGATCTCCTGGTCCTTGCCCACCTCCGCGATGCGCACCTCCACGACCAGGTTCCCCCCCTCGAGGTTGTTCAGGATGAAGCCCTCCAGGACCATCATCTGCTCGACGCTCCCGAGGTCCTCCTCCGGGCGGTGCACCACCATAGGCTCCCGCCAGCGCCGTTGGGGTTTGGTACCCGCTCTGATCTCCAGGTCCTCCTTGTCGTGCTCGCAGCACCAAAGGTCCAACGCCACCTCCTCCCGGAAGACCCAACAGATCACCACCTCCCGGAGCAGCACGAGGCGCGTCCACCCCAGGCCCCATCCCAGGACCACGTGGTGCATCCCCCAACTCCTTCATGGCCTTGCTTCCACCGCCTTCACGCACCTGCTCCTTGAGGCTTTTCATCTCTTGCCAGAGCGCCTGGTTCTGCGTGATGACCTGCTTGAAGGCACCGAGGAGCTCATCAAGGCCACCCGCCGGGATCTCCGCGCTGTAGATCGAGCCCACCGGCAGCGCTCCCGGGCTTACCAGCGACCCTTGTTCCTCCTCCACCTCCGGCAGATCCTTCGGGCGAAGCGCCTTGAGCTGCGCTTCCTCCTTGGCCTTTTCTGACCAAAAAGGATTCACCGCCACCGCCGGCCCCAGCGGCACCGCGTCCTCGCGGCTTGGCTGCCACGGCACCATCGCCGTCTCCGGCGAGTCAGCGGTCTGCGCCGACCCAGCCGAGGATGCCATGGCGTGCCCTTAGGAGGGCCTACAGGAAAAACGTTGGGCTCATAACCCACTCAACTAACTGCAGGCTATTTTCCTTCTTCGGCCAAAAAGGGGCTGTCATGCCCAGTGATTTCATCCGCAACTCAAACATCAGGGGTCTCAAACATTCCAATTCGCAGTAATTTCCCCAACAGCTGAAAGCTATGGGGTCTCTGCCCACATAGGCTCTGGGGTGGTTTGGGGCACTTTCAGGGAGAGTTCTGGGGGGGTGCGGGGCTGTTGGGGAGACCACATGGGCTTGTGTGATTGTTGTCTGTTGGCTTTCGGCAAATGTCGATACATTCTCCTGAGCATGGCACAAGCCGACATGTCTTTCGCTTGCGAAGGAAATCTCCCGATGAGAAATAGATCTTCCGGAGGAAAGGGCCCAGCATGGCGCTTTGACCACGTTAGCGTCTCCACACACGCGATGGTCGTTGCGAGTGGCGCTTGCTTGGTGGCGCTTGCGAGAAAGCGTTGTCTTGTGCCAGGCGAAAGAGGAGAGTTGCTTTCCCCCAAGTCGTAGGGCTTTTGCTAGTTAGAAAATCCATTGGCCATCGTGCCCCACAGCAGGGCTTTCGGCTTCGCCTCCGTCAAATACTTGGCTTCCGTTCGGCTTTGGAAACCCAACAGAGGGTCCACATGTTTTGGCAAAGCCGCCTTGGGGTTTTGGGTGACTCCTTTGCGGTTCGACCTCCCAGGGCTCCAAGAACGACGAGAAGGGTTCTGGCTTCGCCTGGCGGCCTGGGAAGGACAAGCGCGCCCGGCATCATTTGTGGCTTCCTATGCCACAAAATGCTTCCCTGCGGCTCTGACGATCTCCCAGGACCAGTGTCAGGCGAGCTTTCAGTTTCCGGCCTTTTGAAGGACTAGGTAGCTCGGGTATATAGATCGCGCAGGAGTTGAGTGCAGCACTTGCAACCGTGGACTCCAACGAACCAGGAATGTGGCGGAATGAAATCAAGCTTCGCGGCTCTACGCTCCATTTCGAAGGGACGTAGACTGTGCAGCCACGAAAATTCAGGGGACGCACGTGCGCGGGCTCGGCCTATTGTCCCCGCGCAGTTGGCTTGCTTTTCAATCCAACCGGCATGAATGGGCTCTCCGAGTTTGAGACACACACACACACACACCCAACATCCCTGTCACACCTTTGGCCTCGGTTTTTGGGATCACATTCCAACCCACCGAGAGCAAGCGGCTAGCAGCCAGGTGCACCCAAGGCATTTGGCTCTGGAGCACGCCCTTCATCTTCCCAGACAAGGCATTGTGATGTGAACAATGCACAGGCAATTGCATTGGGTTTTTACATAAAGAAGACACATTATATATTTATATATATTTAAACATTGTTTTTAGAACCCAATATTCGACATCGCTTGGCTTCATAGTTTTGGGCGTTGGGTTTTTAGTCGTTTTCTTGTATCCATGGTGAGTCTGGTATCTTGCACCCCGTTGCAGGCCGGATTCGCTTTCGACCATGCTGACTAGGATGTGGCTGTGCGTCAAACCAGGGGTAACCCCCAAAATGGGTTGCCCAGATAAATGTACAGGACTACAAACCAGCCGTCCCCTGATGGTTTAATTTGAGCCATTCTCATCTTAGATAGGCAAGCTCGGGCATCCCAGGATGGACGGAAGATTGCGGTGCTTCTGATGGACACGCAGGGCCCGGCGGCCCGACCAATTTGCGGCGATGCCAACGCGCACAAGGGGTGGCAACAACCGTGGAATCTGTGGAGGCGTTAATGTTGGACCCTCTTTACGCCCACCCCCCCTCGCTAGGAGTGGAACCAGTCAGCTGGACCCTCTTTAGGTAAAATCCTGAGCATCTGGCAAGGAACACATTGATATAATAGAGGGTGCTATTAATAAAGGAGGTGTAACATTAATCCTCAGAACCTTTTTGGCGGCTGCTTCCAGGAAGCCCCAAGAGACACCGTCGTTCGGGTCCGCCCTTCGACTTCGAAGTGGAGGGTTTGAGTCCGGCGTTTTGGTTTTCAGGTGCCTGGGATGACACCATGACCAAGGCACAAAGGCGTGTCGGGACTCGGAGCTCGAGTGGAGAGGATCTGCTTTTTTTTTTGAATGGGTTGTACTCCCTGATTGTGGGCTTGACAGAGCCTGAGTTTTTTTGTTTTTGCGTGCACAAGTGCTTTGGTTGGATACGTGGGCATCTAGAACACCCCCACTTGAAAGAGTACAATGTGTCTCCTTGTTCGCTTCTGATGGTGTTGGTTCCCGTTGGTTCCCGTTGGTTCCTGTTGGTTCCTGTTGGTTCCTCAAGCAAAGTGAGGAGCCGAAAGAGCCTTTTCTCCCCAGGCACAGCCAGCGGGTTTTTTGGTCTGGCGCCTGTCTGGCAGAAAGATTTGAGCGCAGAGAACTTGTCACAAGGGATGCTTCTTGGTGCAGGTTGAAAGCATGCGGAAGGGCAGACTCGCTCCCGGAAAGGAAGGTTTGTCTCGTGAGGGAGTCGACGTTGGTCAAGATCCTGCCTTGCTTAAGGCCTTTGGACCAGACAGACAACATCGTGTCAGGATGCTTGTTTCTTCTCGGCCAACCACATTGATCATTGGGATCCTAAGCCAACTGCATCCAGATTTCCGGATTTCCAAGGGTAAAAGGTAGGTTGGAAGATGGTTGTACCACATTCATCGGTTGGTAACCCTCACCACTGGTAAACCACATTCATCGGTTGGTAACCCTCACCACTGGTAAACCACATTCATCGGTTGGTAACCCTCACCACTGGTAAACCACATTCATCGGTTGGTAACCCTCACCACTGGTAAACCACATTTTCATCGGTTGGTTAACCCTCTCCACTGGTTAACCACATTCATCGGTTGGTATCCCTCACCAGGTGTAAACCTCATTCTCGGTTGGTACCTCACCACTGGTAAACCATCATTCTTGGTGGTATACCCTCACACTGTTAACCCACATTCATCGGTTGGTACCCCTCACCACTGCCAATGGTAAACCACATTCATCGGTTGGTTAATCCCTCAACTTTCTGGTAAAACCAATTCTTCGTTTGTAACCCTCACCACTGGTAAACCACATTCATCGGTTGGTAACCCTCTCCACTGGTAAACCACATTCATCGGTTGGTAACCCTCACCACTGGTAAACCACATTCATCGGTTGGTAACCCTCACCACTGGTAAACCACATTCATCGGTTGGTAACCCTCACCACTGGTAAACCACATTCATCGGTTGGTAACCCTCACCACTGGTACACCACATTCATCGGTTGGTAACCCTCACCACTGGTAAACCACATTCATCGGTTGGTAACCCTCACCACTGGTAAACCACATTCATCGGTTGGTAACCCTCACCACTGGTAAACCACATTCATCGGTTGGTAACCCTCACCACTGGTAAACCACATTCATCGGTTGGTAACCCTCACCACTGGTAAACCACATTCATCGGTTGGTAACCCTCACCACTGGTAAACCACATTCATCGGTTGGTAACCCTCACCACTGGTAAACCACATTCATCGGTTGGTAACCCTCACCACTGGTAAACCACATTCATCGGTTGGTAACCCTCACCACTGGTAAACCACATTCATCGGTTGGTAACCCTCACCACTGGTAAACCACATTCATCGGTTGGTAACCCTCACCACTGGTAAACCACATTCATCGGTTGGTAACCCTCACCACTGGTAAACCACATTCATCGGTTGGTAACCCTCATCACTGGTAAACCACATTCATCGGTTGGTAACCCTCACCACTGGTAAACCACATTCATCGGTTGGTAACCCTCACCACTGGTAAACCACATTCATCGGTTGGTAACCCTCACCACTGGTAAACCACATTATCGGTTGGTAACCCTCACCACTGGTAAACCAAATTTATCGGTTGGTAACCCTCACCACTGGTAAACCACATTTATCGGTTGGTAACCCTCACCACTGGTAAACCACATTTATCGGTTGGTAACCCTCACCACTGGTACAAACCACATTCATCGGTTAGGTAAACCCTCCCACTGGGAAACCACATTCATCGGTTTGTAACCCTCCACCATGGTAAAAACACATTTCATCGGTTGGTAACCCTCACCACGGGTAAACCACATTTTTCGGTTGGTAACCCCACACAGGTAAACCCACATTATCGGTTGGTAACCCTCACACTGGTAAACACATTCATCGGTTGGTTAACCTTAACCACTGGTAAACCACATTCATCGGTTGGTAACCCTCACCACTGGTAAACCACATTCATCGGTTGGTAACCCTCACCACTGGTAAACCACATTCATCGGTTGGTAACCCTCACCACTGGTAAACCACATTCATCGGTTGGTAACCCTCACAACTGGTAAACCACATTCATCGGTTGGTAACCCTCACCACTTCCAATTGGTAAACTTTGCTCGATGGTACCCATTTTCCCTTGAAGTTCTGCCTGGCTTTCGACAATGGGTCCCTTGGACTGCCAGTGCCACGATCTTCGGGCTCACGGCCCTGCTCTCTTCGAAACTGCCGGAGCCCCAACGACGGAAGGTTCTGAAACGAGGCCTAAAGGCCTCCGAGTCTCGTTTTTTTCCCCCCCCCTTTTTTTCCCCCTTTTTTTTTATCCCTTTTTTTTTTTTAAATTTTATTTTTCCCATTTTTTTTCTTCCTTTTTTGTTTTTTTCGTTCGGGGCGCGTTACATGGTTGGGTTGGTCACCGGCCGTAGCTCTTTGCTTCTGACAAAGGCTCCAACCTCCATGGGGTGCAGCGGCTTTTTGGTGGGCAGGTCGTGTTAGAGCAGATGCGAAACTGGGGGAACCCATGAGCGAACAAGCAAACACATGGGCACCCTTGAAGATCCATCTGGGTATGGGTCAAAATTAACCAGGAATCGGACCGCAGGTTTTAGTCCTTGTTTCCATTCACCAGGGTTTCATTTTGGGCGCCGACTTTTGACCCATAGCCATATCTCTGGTGACAACATTCTTTGACGCCAGCAAATGGGACATGGCAGGTGAACTCATGAGCTCCGGGTGCTCCGTTTGGAGCCGGGCTTCAGAAAATGGGGGTTGTTCAAAGTTCCCTTCGGGCCCCAAAATGAGCAGGGGCAACTTCTCCCAGGTGGTTTGTTTCTCATTTTTTGTTGGTGGTTTCCCTAATGGTCACCCCCATGTATATCGGACCTTTTGATCAACCCCCAAATGCGCCAAGACGCGGAACTTTCCGGCCAAAGCTCTGGAGACACGAGAGGATGCAATGGCACAACCAGGTCACAGGCAAATCGCCTCAAGGCCACAAAGGCTCACATTGCCATATTCCTGACTCGCCACAGATGTCCATGGCAGGCAACACTCTTTTTCCACGCTGCCCAGTCAAAACAAACCGCTCGTGGGAGACAAGATCCTGTTAGAAACCTGGACCTCACGCCAACACTTGTTCCAGACCCGCGACTAGACTCAAGCTCGCGGGAGCGCGAATTTCGCGCCCAAAGTCTGTGTCGTAGCTAAGTCCGGAAAACGCCTCAGAGCCACGCAAGCCGATGCTTCTTTTTCTCGGGGGAGTGAAGGAATGAGGGACCATCCTGTTGGAGTCTGCGCAGCGCTTGACGTCGTGTGATCAGAGGGGCTCTGATTTGGTGCAGATGAAATACAACGGCCCACTGATGAATTGGTTCTGATTGAGGGTTCGGGTTGATCCTTCGGGAAAGAGAGAAGCAACAACCCAAGACGATTTTGCATGCCAAGAACTAAAACAGAGCGCTTCAACAAGGAAGGTTTGGGTGAGTGTGTGCGTGTGTGTGTGTGTGGTGTGTCAAGACTAGCTACTGCCTTCTGTAGTTCCCCCCCCCAGTGAGCGCTCGAACGTGTCCTAGCGGCGTGGGGGGGGAGGTTGGGGAGTTGGGTGGCGCGATCATTGCAATCTACGTCGACTGCTCGTAATATTCCCAGCACCGACGCTTCACTGGCGTCTTTCAAGATCAACGCCGAGGAAAGTCTAAAGCCAAGCCATTTGTTTGGCATTGAAACCCAAGCATTGAGGACACAAACCGCGGCATCTGTGTAACAAACCGCAGTCATCCAACTCAGAGGTTTATGACAGGATATGCCTTTGAAAGTCCTTTGAAAGATGCATCCAACGAGCGCCTTTCGCTTTCTTAGCCCGGCTGGTGAGCTACCCCGAATGCCTAGCTTGTTTGCCTACCCTCCAAGCTAGATTCAGATAAAGCGCAATCCCTGGCATCGCTCTGTTTGGCTAGAGAATCCTTCGGAGTGTCCCAAGGATTTACAACATCCAGAACCGAGTCGAGGAGGACAAGGCGGCACAACTGCCAGTTCAAAAGAAGCCTCCATTTGAGCCACGTGCTCAAAACTTTTGTAGATGAAGGTTAGTAAGGGACAATCCCAGCCATAAATAGTTGCGGCCGCCTTTGTATTTCCTTACATGGTTTTGGGTCAACCATTTTAATACCGGGTTTTGATTGTGACTCATTTTCGATGTCTATCATCTTCTGCAAGCAAATCATGGGGAGACCATGGCCATTTGGGGTTTCGAGAAGGAGTGCCAGGTTTACGTTTAATCAGTGCACGAGCACCACGGTCCTTTAGAAAAAGCAGGACATTTGGAGCTTGGCTATAATCATGTGAGTGCCGATACACTTTCACGCCCTGAAGCTGGGACTAGGTGGAATGGCGAGTCAAACAAAACGGTGGCCTTTTGGACAAGAACTCTTTTCGAAGAGCGGCTAAACTTGAGTCAGCTTCGGAGCAGCTCCTATTTTCGATGCCCTTCCATGTTGGACGGTAAATCCATGTATTTGCTTTCTCTGCTGTATTTGCTTTCTCTGCTGTATTTTCTTTCTCTGCTGTATTTGCTTTCTCTACCTTATTTGATTTCTTTACTGTGTTTTTGAGGGTAAATGCTTGGAGCCTTGCCAGAGTGTTACTGCACTATGCCTGGTGGGTTTTGATCGTTTGAAGCCTGGCTCCGCACCTTTCCCAATCAGTTCCGAGATGTGAACGCCAATCCAAGCAGAGGGTGAAGCGGCAGAAGTTGGGGGTTTGGACATGGGGGTTGATCAATATTCCGTTCGGCCCCCAAATGGCCATGGGTAACTTTTCTTGTGCAGAACTTGTTGGTGTGCACAACTTGAGGGTTGATGGAACGGGCAGCCTGCAGCTCTAAGCCCTTGTCGGCCTTCATGTTTTTTTGTTGAAGCATGTTTCTAGTGGTTTTCCCACCAATGGTCATCCTACGTATATCGGAGCTCTTGATCAACCCCCCTCACTGCGCCCTGCGTTCAGTTGGAAAACATGGACTACATCACCACCTTCGCGCCGGGGGCCGCAAAAACGAAGGCTTCGGAGCGCCCCTTTGGGTTCGGGATGTCTGACATTCTGGGTGTGGCTCAAAATTAACCCGGAGGGGCAAGTTGCGCAGGTTTTGGTCCATGTTTCCACTTACCGATCGGGCAAGCCATTGTGGAATTCCAGTTTTTCGAGCCTCAGCCGTAGGCAGACCGTCTGCAGCGACCTGCCTGGCAAAGATGCGCCGCCGGGGACTGAGATCGCGAAGATGTGGACTCTGGCGGGGTCTCATTTTTTGGCTTCCTTGTTGGCTTTCTTGTTGGCTTTCTTTCTTGTTGGCTTCCTTTCTTTTTGGCTTCCTTTCTTTTTGGCTTCCTTTCTTGTTGGCAAAAAAAGCGAAGGCCCCCCTGTTTTGAAAGACCCGGCGTGGAGAGAACCGTTCTGATATTTGTTGTTGGAGAACCGAAGGGCCGGATATGTTAAGATTCTGCCACACTGAAACACTTGCAAGCCTGCAGTTTTGGGATCCAATGCCAGCCTGGCACAAGTCGTGGATCTTTTAACAAATGTTTAATTCGTTCCCTTTCCGGCTTCGTCCTTTCCCAGTATCTGGTGGCCACATCCCTGGCATCCCCTGCCCGGCAAAAGCCTTGGGGCTTGGAGGTTGGGAGCTTGACGATCAGTTCGATAGTCAGCCGCACGAAAGGTCGTGAACTTGGCTTCTCGAGTCCACTGGATGAGTCCAATCTGGTTGCAAGTCAGCGATGCTGCCCCGCTGGTATTTTTGTTTTTTGGCTGAGCGATTGGTTTAACGGGAGTTTTTGCTTTTGCCAGGTCCCGTCCCGGCTTCAAGCCGAGGTTTGGGCATTTGGAGCTTCTGGTGAGAGATTGGGCAAATTACGAGGCGGGAGCTGGATGTGACGAGCAATGCTCCAAGGGAGCCCCTTTCGAAACTTCAGGGATTCCAACCCCTCTTTGGTGAACTCACGTTTTTCGACCCCCAGTTTTGTTTCTCAAACAGGGAGGGATGACGGCGAAGAGCGCGACGAGGGATAGGGCATTGAGTGAAGGGGAAGTGTGCGAAAAATGCCGGTGACGCATCGGATCTTTTTGTGAGGCGGGTAAGGAACCTGATTGCACCTGCGCGGAACAAGATGATTAAATCGCCGGGGAATCCCAGAGGAAACCAACCAGTTTCAGCAGGAACAGGGGTGCTCGCAGCGAGCCCTGTGGGGTTTCCTGTCAGGACGGCTTCAACGTCCAGCAGTGCCAGGCACGAGATGTTTGGGCAGGGCTGCAGCTTTTGGTTTGCTTCGACTGAAGACTCGAATGAGTAGTTTTCAGGAGGTTTTAACAGGTTCATGGCACGTGGCCGAAGGTCATGGATTAGAGTTCGCTATCTTCTGGCCAACTTGGCCAAAGGGTGCGCCGGTTGGAGGGTTTGAGACTGCGACAGATGGGAACTGGCATGTCACTTGACCGTGGTCTCTTGCTCACTACTGGGTGCTTAGCAACCACGCGTGGGAAAGAATTGGGACATCCAGCGCATCCCCCTGCTAGCCAGAGTGTCTCCTGCTTTGCCTGCCGTTGTACTGGTCGTGGATTGGATGTGCCCGAAGCACCGAAGGTTCCGGTGCCAGGCGTCCGGATTCGCGTTTTGGATTGGGCTCAGGAGCAGATGGAGGAGCACCTGGACGACCATCTCAGCCCCACCAAGGTGCCGGAGGCATCGCCGCACTGGGGTTTTGGTGTGAGGACTCTGGGAATGGATGCGGTTCCATCTTCTGTATCTGGATTTGCAAGTAAAGTCTCAGGTAAACCCCCGGGTTTCTGCGGGGAAACAGAACGCCGCGACCCATGGGTGTGTCCGAAAGTCAAGTGTCTCTCGCGCTATGCTCTTTTTGAGACGCCAACAAAAGAGGTGCATATTTTGGGATACGTTTCGTGGATCTGACGGATCTTGAAAAGGTTCACTGCAGACACGGGTGAGAACTCCCTCCACGTGTCAAACGTTTTACTTCACGATGTCTGGTTGGAAAAGCTTGACGGATAGGCTTTGCCGCAACATTCACCATAGGCTGCCAGACCAATTGGAACATCCTGCCAATGAAGTTTCTGCAAACAACACAGAAGGCCCGCAACGAGGCCTCCAAATTCGGATTCAACAGGGGGCACACTGGACGTGCCCAGCCATGTTTATGCTTCTTCCGGGCTGGATGCGTTGGTTATTTGGGTATTTTTTGTGACTTGCCAACAATTGAAGCCGAAACTGTTCAACGGACGCCAACTCGACTAGGATGCGAAGCCCCGGGTCCGGCCCCTGGCCCTTTTGACCGAGTGGGTGCAGAATGAGCGAGCAACCCAAGCACCGGATGCGCATGGGTGAAAGGAACTTCTACTCCATGGATGAAACGTGTCAAGCGGGAGAAGAAAGGTCGTCCGGGTGAACAGTCCTTGTCATCTGCATTTTTGCAAGATGACCCAAAGCGCAGTGGCCAAATAACCACCCTAGAAATTGATTCACACACACAGACACATACACAGATGCCGAGATCCTTGTGCCCCAACATTGGGATGCAAATTTGGGACTGGAGGGAACCATCGAATGGGCCTTGCCATTATGACAGACGCCATTCACGTGTCACGGTTGTGTCCACTTCGGTTTTAGTACGTCTCCAGACTCAGAGGTGATTTGGTGCGGATGGAGCCCTGCTCATTTTCTGTACTCATCTCCGGTGAGTTGATCGGGTCTCTTGGATTCCTGTCTAAAAATAGGGGGACCCCCAAATGCTGGCTTTCCCTTCGATTTCCCTCTTAAACCATCCCAAAACTGGGTACCCCCCCACCAACTAACATGGAAGTGTAAAAGGCCCTTTCCAAGAGGAAAGTAGTCTTTCTACAGAGGTTTGTGCACAAACCCATGTTAGCTGGCGGGGGGAACCCAAAAAACAGACCACGCCCCTCTTGACCCGCTGCCGGAGGGAGTCGGCTCGCTCGGTTCCGAGGTGGAGCGCCTTCGGAGCACCTTCAAAAGCTCCGCCCTGAGTCCCGTCGGCCGTGGGAAAGGATCAAGCCATTCTTGGTCCGCCTGCTTGAAACTGGACCAAGCCCCTGGTACAAATGAAGCACCAAAGGAGTTCTTGACAGAGAGAAGAAGCCGATTCAGAAGTTCAAAAGAGTAAGCAGTTCTGTTTAAAGCTTCCACACAATTTACTTGCTGGTGCGAGAAGCAGGGAATGAGAAATGGAATGACCCCCATAAGCGCCATCCAACTGGTGGTTTCCTGGAGGTCCAAGGCCTGGGTTGATGCCAACTTGCTACCCGCATCTCTCGCAGCTCAGTAGAAAGTCGCAGGCATCGGCGCCTGGGGTTTGCCCCACCCTGGGCTGAAGGTGACGAAGTGGGGCACCAAGTGGCATGGGATGGGATGGGATGGGGTGCTGTGCTTCTTGGATTGGTTGGGTGTCATGGTTGGTTTGTTGGTGGGTTGGTTGGTTGGTTGGGTTGGGTTGGGTTGGGTTGGGTTGGGTTGGGTTGGGTTGGTTGGTTGGTTGGTTGGTTGTCATGTCCTTTTCTGTTGTGTGCTTGCTTCGCCCAGCTTTCCTCAAAAAGGGTGGCTTGGAGCCCGGTGGTTTGCAGGTTAGGGGTAATTTCCCATTTTCCGACAAGCAGCAATCCAAGCCAACAAATACGGCTTACCTGGGCTTGTTCATTGGCCGAGATCCGACATGGGAATGAGCAATTGGTTTCGTGTTAGCGCTGGCCCGGGTCTTTGACCAAAGGGAGAATGGCTTTTGAAGACTCGTGCTTCGTCCACGACGGTGGACTGCAGCGAAGATTCTGCGCAGTGGTCTATTTGAGCATGGGAAAATCAGCGGTACCTGCCGCAGCGCGTTGGTTGACTTGGCGTGGGGCAGTTTGTAGGCCTGCAGTGGGTTCGCTGCCTATATGGTCCTCGGTGGGTGGGTCGGGCCAGATCCAAGAAGTGGGAAGGGTGAGACCTCACGCACTTTTTGGCTCAAGGCTCAAGCGCTTCCCCATCAATTTTGGTTTGCCGTTTCTTTTGTCGCGGCGCGGTTTTCTCACATGTCCGTTGTGAACCAGAAGTGGACTTTGGCTAGGCGTCCGGAAGGGGTCTACGATCCTTCTTTGGACACGAAGCTTGTATCAGAGACTGTGAAGCTCGATGCATGCCCCGAGGATCAGCTCATTGTGCGGGTGGAAATGCTGTCCGTCGATGCGTTTATTCGCACCATGATGGACGAGGAGGCTTACCACGGAGAAGGAGGCATGGGCATAGCTGTTGGCTCCGTGGTTCCCGCCATTGGCTATGGCACGGTCGTGGCCGCCGGAAGCAAGTCGGGGAAATCCGTGGGACAGAGAGTCCTTGGAAGCCTCGGTGCGCAGACCTATGCCACCGTACCGGTGGGCGGCATGCGCGGCGCGCATCCCTTCATGAAACTGCCCCTGCACCGACCGGAAACCGCGCTGCACCTCTTCGGCTTGACCACCGGGCTCACGGCCTACGTGGGCATCTTCAAGGTGCCTTAACTTAGGGCCCCCCAGCTTGTGGCAAAAAAGGGCCCACGTCTGCGGGCGTTTGGGTCCTGAGTCAATTGAGGCCCCAGGTCTGGCAACCCGGAAACTCCTGGAAAGTGGCGGACACCAATCCCCACCTAAATGATGTCCACCAAGGGGCCCATAAACAAATTGTGAAGGGTCCAAATACTCGAGGGACCCCCTCCCCGCAAAAAAAAAGCAATACAAAAAACAGAAAGACATGTGATTTCCCCAGAGGGGGTTCTTTTTCAATCTTCAAGCCCTTTTTGTTTGGGGTGGGGTACTCAAGACAAAGAACGCCCCGCCAGGTCTTGCGTGCGCCCAGCAAAAGCGACACCGTGGTGGTGAGCGCCGCCGCGGGTGCCGTCGGCAGCATCGCCGCGCAGCTGGCGAAATCCAGCGGGGCTAAGGTCATCGGCATCGCTGGCAGGGCCAAATGACGTCCTCAAAACCTGGGGAGATGGAGGTTAAGGGATGCTCCCAACCACAAATAGCTGCGGATCTCCGGCTGCTTAATTAGGTACATGGTTCTGGGTCGACCATTTTGATGCCGGTTTTTGAAGCTCTCGGCTCAAGTCCTTCCAGGGCGTAGGTAGAGCTGAGACAGCGGACGCTTGGGACACCCGTTTCTTCTGGCCATGGATTCTATGATCTTTGCTGGACCCTTGAGGGATGGCGATCTGGTGGACGGGGTATTCGATTTTTGCCTCGGCGGTGGTGGCGCATTCCTTGGTACCCGTATCCCCGATGGGGTGGTCATTTGCGCCGGAGGTTTACCCTGGTTTTCGGCTGCCTGTGAGCCCGCCGGTCATTGCTGCCACCGATGGTTCATTTGCCTTTCGTTCGGCCCCTCAAAATGGATCATCACATCATGGCCCAGTTGGACAGTGATTTGCTGCAGCTCTGGTGATCTTTGCTGCGTCAGCGGTTGTGGGGCCTTACTCATTGCTGGCGCCATCACGGCAGCAACAGGGTGGCGCTTCACATAGCTGTGTGCGCTACTGCGTATTCGAGGGCGATGCGTGTTGACTCTGCGCAGCTCGATTGTGGCTACCAGCAACTTCTACTCAGTCATGAGGCCACTTTTCTGGACCGTAGAATTGGCAGCACCTCCGCGGCCCACGCCAGACCTTGAGCTCGCAGGCGCATCTCGGCGCGTTTTCCACTCTTTGCATTTCAGGATAGCAAAGCGCTTGGCCCCTGCCTACGCCCAGCTTGGCAGGACTTGGAATGATTTGTTTTCGAGCAACATGCTTTGTGTGCATCTGTCTACAACTATGTCTGGTGTCGTTAATGCTGCTGCAGCGATGTGCTGCAAGTTTGTCTGTCGCAGACACGTAACTTCGTTGGGACATCTCGGCCCCACGCCTGTGGAATGCTCCGAGCAGCTGGGCCCGACCAGTGCTGCGCCGCGCCGCTCATGCTGTGCGCGCCGTCCGCGCTAGCACCGGGATTTGATTCTGGCTCAATTGGGGAACACATGCCGGTAATCCCAATTTTAGAATCTACCCATCAATCTACCCTCCCACCGTTTTTACATGGAACTTGGCAGACTTTTTGGGCCCTCTTTTTGGTGGAAAGTGGTCCAAACCAGGACCCTAGGGTATGTCTTTTGAGTTTTTTTGTTTTGTTTTGTATTTTCATTTAAAGGGAAACCAAAAGGAAGACCGAAATCCATTTGGGTCCGCCAAATTAGAAAACGCGAAATTTGGTTCAGAGGTCGGGGCTATGGCCCCCTTTTGTTGGTCTCAAGGTTTCCTTTAATTCTATTGTTTTTTGGGGGGGGGGGCGCCTGTCAATTGCGTGCGCTCGGCAACGAGGACCAACTGCTTGTTGTCCAAACAGATTTTGCCACCACGTTATAAACGCGTGTTTGGCCCGTCCATGGCAGGCGGCGTGAAGAAGTGCAAGTTCCTGACGGAGACCTTGAAGCTGGATGCCGCCATTGATTACAAAGATGCTGAGAGACCCTTGGCCAAGCAACTGGATGAGCTGGCTCCTGAGGGTGTAGATTTTTTCTTCGACAACGTGGGAGGGGAGACCTTGGATGTCATTCTGGAGCGCATCAAGAGTGACGGCCGTGTGGTGATTTGTGGTGCCGTGAGCCAGTACTCCGGCAACCTCAACAAGGGCATGGTTCAAGGCCCGAGCAATTACTTGAAGTTGGCCGAACGAGGCGCCACCATGAAAGGCTTCAATGTGATGCAGTACATGTCCAGCATCCCCGCAGCAATGGCTCAGCTGGTTTGGTTGCACTTCCGGGGCTACGTGACGGTGCACGAAGATGTCAAGGAAGGCATCGAAGCGTTTCCAAACGCCCTGCAGCAGCTTTTTACCGGCGGACATATTGGGAAGATGCTTTGCAGGATCTCCGGGTCTGAGTCACCATCTGAGGCTGCAAAGATGTAGGTGAGACAATTTTCGGGGCCCCAATGAATGTATGTATACAATATATGCGTTTCCTGTGGAAAGACCCGTTTTGCACAGTTTTCGAGCATGAGCCGACTCCTTAATGGGAGCTTTCTCGGCTGATTCTCTTTTGTCGCAAGCAAAACACATGCAGAGTTCTCGTGAGTTCTCGTGACGTACCGCTTGGTTTCTCTGGGTTCTCTCGGGTCGCCGATGTGAGGCCCACCTATATGGGGGAGATCGAAGCCATCGACACGGATTTCTTGTTCCTGCTGGACCTTGCATTGATTTTCTGCCTATCGTGAGCTGGGGCATGAATCGGGGGTTCCTTGCTTCAGGTTTTGGGATTGGTTGGGCTGGTGGCTTCATCGTTTGGATGAACTGATTTGGCAGTGGGTCAAAACCCTGTACCCCTGGTGAACATCAAAATAGGTGGCAAATGGATGTTCATCCACCCCAAAATGGAACCATAGGATATGCCCCGTGGCCATTTGATACCATCACGTGAGAGAGGCAGGGACCGGCAGACGTTACCCATCGGATGAAGAGCTACCTCACAGCACGCGAGGACCACTTCTGCGATGTCTTCTTTGGCGGCGAGAAGTTCCCGGTCCCCTCTGACGGGGGCTGAGACATGTCTGCTGAGACGTAGCATGTGGCATAGGATGATAGGATGATAGGGTACCATATACTTTTCCCACCCCTTCAAACACGGATAGCCAGCAAGCTGGTCTTCAGGAAACCAATCGGGACCCCTGTGTTGCGAAGGAAATGTGAAGGGTCAAGATTCTGTTGCGGCCTGGGGAGTGTCCCATTGATTTGGCGGTCGAGCCGGGGGTTGGGCATAAGTTGTGACTTCGCTCCCATTTTCCGTGCGAAAGGATCGCGTCTGAGAATTGCCCTGAAGTCCTGCCAAAACCTCCGAGGGCCGCTTGCTGGCAAGCCGTCGCAGGCTCCGCTGGGGTGCGAAATCACCACTGGCGGGTTCCAGCAGATTGCTGGGGGCTGAGAGAGATCCGCGGACATGCGGGGTCAAAAGGCTTGACTTGAATTGGGTCCTTGATACCTATAGGGGTTAGATACCCCATAGGGGGTTGATTTCTGAAACCAACACCAATGCAGCCGGTTTTGACGTTTGGAGCACTGCACATCTGGGGGTCCTCGACTTGATGAAGAGCTTTTGAATAACAAGGAGCAGTCTAGTCTTGTTGGTTCCCACCTTCCAGCAAACCAGCAGCAGTTGGCCTGTGTAGTGTATGGGAGGAGAGTGCCAACAAGCGGCTGGCGCTGCTTTTCCTTATACGGGCTTGGAAACAATCTCAACAGACATGGAAGTGCTCCGACTTTATTTTGAGTTTTAAGTGTTATCATTATCATTGTTATTACTATTATGTTTTATTTGTTTTTTTTGAGGGTGGTATTTTGGGATGTTTCAAGATCAAAGGACACAAGCCGGTTTGGTGGTCCCCAAAGGGAGAGTGGCGGTTGACTTGCGTGTCTACCTTTTTAACTTTGATCCCAGGGTTTTTATCAAGAAGTCTCCTTTTGATGGAACTCCGCATCGGCTTCCGAGATGATGCTTGTCTAGTTGCTTTTTGGCCTTCAAACACCATTTCGAAGCGGCTTACGCTTTTACACGAATCATTTTCTCAAGCCCATGTTTTTCGCAAAGTTCAACACTCAGTTGCTCACTGCGATTCCGTTGCAACAAGAAGGCGGCTGTGCCTCACCCGTGAAAGAATGGCACTGAGTTCATCCTCTGAATGGGGAGGGCAAGTTGGAAACAACACACTGTAAACAAAACAAACAAATAATAATACACACACACACACATGTTACCGACATTTTAGAGTCGTTTTTGGGAGGTCTGCTTTTGGGAAGCGCCCCACCTCGCCCGAGGTCATGAACTTTGCGAAGGCCGGGGATAGCGCAATGGGCTAAGGCCGAAGCTGGTCTATGGCTTTGAGGGGACTCACTGAACTTACCTTGTTTGGCCTTAAGAACCGGACGTACAGCTGATTCTTAACGTCATGGAAGGAACACCCAAGGGGTACAGACTTGTTCCAATAGGCTCTGTTAATTGTTTACCCCTTTGTTTGGTTCGGCTGGAGCCAAATTTCCGATCGAATCAAGTATACCAGCAGGAACACACCCAAAGCAACCCGAGACCAACCCTTTGCAAATCTTCATCCACCCTATTCACCTTATCCCACTCTATACAGAGCCTCACCCCAAGCTAATCTTTTAGTCAAGCTGAAACCAACCCTGAGAAACCCCTAGTCCACCCTTAATCGGCCGATGTTAGCTCACGGACGATACTTTGTTTGAGTGCACATGATCATTGACGCACCAGAGAGGCCTGATTGATTTTTTTTCGACCAAGGGTCTGATTTAGGAAGAAGCCTTTGACCAACCAGGAGGAATCCTGTTTCATTGCTTTGAGATCGTTGACCGTTCATTGACACCTCTTGTTCGTGTGCTTTTGAGCTTTGCAGGGACGCCTCCTGTAGATTCACCAGGTAAGGCAGGTAAATCAACCCGAGGAATGCCTTGCGGAACGGTGTCCTACAACTTGAACGTGAAATTAGAAGGCGACTGGTTCCAAATCCTACTTCACCCGACAGTCAGGAATTTCACGGGCAGTTCAGTGAGTCACCACATCTCTTCTATCATACCGGGGGAGGGGGGGGGGGAAGAGACCGCGGGGGGGGGGGGGGGGCAGGCAGATTGGCTTAAGCCCAGTTGATGTTTTTGCACCAAACAAATCGGTGCCACGGATCTGGAGCACAGGCCTTCAAGCAGAATGCGCAGGAGATGGCCATTGGCCTTCGGGAGGCCTTGGGCTTTGTCTTTTTGAGGAAGGCCAAGAGGAATCAGCTTCCCTTTGATTGGTGGTTTGGATTGGTGGTTTGGATTGGTTTGGTGGTTAAGGGCCACTGATTGGCGGCTTGGAGCCTGGTGGTTTGGTGGTTCAGGAGGGCTTCAGATCCCCAAACCACCAAAATCAAAGCACCAAGTGAGTGAGGGTTGATGGAAGGAGAACCACACGGAGAGAAATGGTTTGGTTTTTGTGGGGCAAAGATAGTGTGGGGAAACCACCAAAATGCACCACTTGGTGTCTTTTTTTGGTGTATCCTGGATTTCATGGGTCATCCATCCCAACTGGATGGTGCCAATCTTGTTGGGCCTGAACGCAGGGCTTGAACAACTCATCCAACTCATTTGGACAGTCACGGCCACATTCTTGCCAGCCGCCAGACTCCATTTCCCTCGTTGCGATCGGCAGTCATCTTGGTCACTCTTTCACTTGGCGCGATGTTGTTCCGTGCATCTTAATCACAATTCGGCCAGTGCTTTGAAAGTCTTTGCTTTTCAAAGGGCCGCTTGCGGGGGAGACTCTTACGAACTTTCTTCTCGGTGTCAAGGTACGGGACCGTCGAGCGCAGGCTTTCGTGAAGGTCGAGACGGTCTCGGTGAAGGAGGATCTCAACCGACGTTTCAGGCGGGTGGCAACCGGGACCTGAGCCACTTGCTCAAAACCCAGGTAGACGAAGGTCAGTAAGGGCCAATCCCAGCCGTAAACAGCTGCGGCCGCCTTCTTAATTAATTACATGGTTTTGGGTTCACCATTTTCATTCCAGGCTTTGATTGTGGCTCACCTGTTGGCTGCGCAGGTTTGCTTCAACACATGCTGGCAATTCTTTTGGAAGTGCATCCACAAGCGTGTCGAGAGCATGGCAAAACGGAGCCCTGGAGATTTCCGAGGCCGGGCTCAAGGTCTCGGAGACCCCATGGGTCGGTGTTGTTGGTTTTTGCCTCTTCCCTTTTCGGATTATCGAAAGGCCTCGGCTCCGTTGGTGGTTTGGTGGTGAAGGCCTGGTTTCCTATGTGAATTATCCTCCACGAAAACTCCAATCCAAACCACCAGCTGAGGCTTGCCTGACCATGTCTATGGTTCGCTTGAAAACCAATAACATGTAACACGGAAAAAAAACATGGGGGGAAAAAGCGAGAAGGAAAGACAAAAGGAAACACATCTTGATTGTTTCGTTTGATCAAAACACCATCCTTGCTTTTGTTTCTTCCTCTCTTTTTTTTTTTAAACAAATAAAACTTTGTTTTGGTATTGAGGAACAGCCTGCAGCAGCTGGCGCCGGCCAGCGCCGTGCTGGAGCCGCAGCTCCTGCAAGAGAAATCGGCCAGGGTCCCAGGGCGAGCGCGATTTTGTGGGAGGGCTGGATTGTGGTGGGTGTTGGGTGTGTTGGGTGAATGTTTTGGGCAGGTTTTTCTTTTCTTTTTTTCTTTCTGTTTTTTTGCGGGGTTGGGGAGTTTGGGTGGATGTCGGGGGAAGGGGGTTTGAAGATTGGGGGGTTGGGCGGGATTGGGTTGGGAGGCATTGGACTTGGGGTGGACCGCAGGGGAGATTGGGCCAAGATTAGTGTTTGACGTGTTGGGGTGGTCCAGAGCCAAGTGCCGCCGAGACGTGCGCTGATCTTTTTGTGTTAATATTTGAAACCTCCTGATAGCAAAGTTACTTCAGCCAAACTGCAGGACGTCCACATGACATTACACACCCCATTGAAGCTTGGGTCATCCCATTTCAAGATTGGTATGGTCATTGTTTTGGAAGGCAAATCCAGCCATCGCACTTGGATCGTGCTACAAACCGGGCGTGATTCGACTCGCATCTTCTTTTTGCGTTGCTTCCCCTCCGAATGCCATTCGGTTCCAAGCTGCGAGGATCAACTGCTCTACAAGATCATGGAAGAGTTTTCTATGAAGCGCGGTGCCCCAACCTTGGGCTTGAAGAATCTTCGGGCGTTCCATGAATGCAGATTTCTGGATACACGTTGGCCACAAATATATGGGTGTGTCATTTTTGGAGGGTACCCTTTTTTGCCTGCTCTAAAGGGAATGCACAAAATGCACCATTTTTTGGGTTCCCCTAGAAAAGGATGTACCATATTTCTACTTTGGTTGGTGGGGGGGGTTACACTGCTTAACCATTTCCAAGTGGCGAAGCTGCAGACTCCGAGGCTTTCATCCTTGCTAGGCGATCCTGCCCCTAACTCTAAGGTGCATTACCCCCTCTCCTGGTAAGGAGAACCCCCGATATTTGAGGATGTGTGTCTGTAGCTTTTGAGTGTTGGCTGCGGTTCACGCCAGCCGCAATGGGATTCCAGACAGTTTCTTTGTTTGTTTTCCACCACGCATTTGTCAAGGACCCTCAACAAATTCCAAAACAACAGTTTCCGATCGCTTACGCAGAATGTGTACCCAACCTCCTTAGAACCCATGAGGTGGTGAAAATTATATGGCTTGAGAATAGTTGGACATTCCCACCTAAATGATGTCCGCCAAGGGGGCTAATTGAAACTCATACCCAAGGGTCTGTCTTCGTTTAGGGGGACCCCCCTCCCCAAAAAAGAAGAAACAAAACCCCAAAAAACAAAGCAAACAACACAAACAAGTTGTTCTTTTGTTTCTCAACAAAAAGGCACCCATTTGACTTCGAGCCATGGTCCAAACCGAGGCTGAGACCTTGGCGGATGCCGCAGTCCGAAGAAGAGCAGGCGGGGCCGGAGGAGAGTTTCTCGCAAACTGGGCTCCAACTGCGGCTTTTGCTTCTGCCGGTCGATTTTCTACAGATTTTCCACTTGTGGCCGCCCCCGGACTTTGCACTCGAAGGGGGATTCTTTGGGCAAAGCCAGTGGACATTGAAGGGAGCAGCAGCACTTTTTGCGCTTTCCTTTTGAGGCGGCCCGAGAATCCAACTCGCTTTCACAGAGAGGCAGATTTGTTCTCAACACTAGATGCGCCTGTTGGACATTTTCCAAAGGAACCGACCTTTGCGAATCACATGCACGGCTTTTTGATGAGATGTTGGCTTGGGCATGGGATGGGTCACATGGGGTCTTTTTCTTTTTTGGGTTCGACTCACGTGAAGCTAAGGCGTTCTTTGTGCGCTCACTCGTTTTCATGTGGAGCTCGGCCGTTTTTTTGAATACCCTGCATGCAACCTCAAACAAAGCCATGTATGGCGCACCACGTGGTTGAGTCCCTGTGCTATTTGGACCCCCGACAGGGGGGGAGGTGATTTTCCCGAACCCCGAATTGAAAGTTATTTTTTTGGGGGTAACACAAGATCGAGCCTTGAATGAGCCCCTGAAGCGTAAGCGACCACCTTCTTGCAAGAACCTGAAACCGAAATGGGTCCCAAAAGGCTATGCGAAGAAGAAAATCAGGGTACAAAAAACATGGTACCCTCCCTCCAAAAAGCTTCCTCCAGGAGGATTTGCCAGTATTTACGGTACGATTGACCCAGAGCTCCCACGTAGCATTCTCTGTCCGTGCTTTAAAGCACTTGCAAGCGTTTTGGGATCTCAGCCCTTGAACATTGCGAGACATCTTCAACTTGTTGCTAAGAACTTCCGAGTTCACAGAAGGCTTTGCCATATGTCGGTGCGACATACATATCTTGGTGGCTCCCAACCATCCCCTTAGCCTTTTTTAACCCACTAAAACTTATTCACTTTTAGCGAGGGATCTGAGGGCAGCCCAGATATGTATACACATAAGACCCATTTGTGTTGACCACCCTCCAGGTATCATGCCCAGTGAGTGGAAAACTCTGTGAGGTGATCGGCGACTTTCGGCAGCATCTGAAACAGGCGCGGGTGGCAAAGCGGTGGACGGGACATTGCGTCGTGTTCTTGGCTCGGGGGGGGGGGAGGGGGGGGTGGCAACGGATGGTGTACTTCATCTGACTCAGATGCGGGCGCAAAAGGTGTTGCCACATTTCAGGAAGTCACTTGAACTTTGAGCCAAGTCCAAATGATTGGTTTTTGTTTGGTCTTTTTTGAGCATGCTGAAGGAGACCCGAGTCTTGACACATGCCCTGCTTTGGCAACCCTTTACTTGTGTTTCACCAAGAGCCATGATCGGGTTTGACACTCTGGCTTGACAATGGAAACGGCTCGTTCGGCAAGTCGGGCGTGAGCTTGGATGCGACATTTGCTCGAAGGGCAACTGGTTGCATCGAGCCTTTTCGCTCGCGAGGCGATCGACCAGAGAATCTTGATCAACAACCAGCAGGTCCTGCCGCCCTGTCACAGGCGTCTTAGATTCAACTGGGGCTACGGACATGGAAGCTAAGAGTGGCAGCTTGATGGCGCCTTCCGAGCCATAGGCTTCCCAGAAGCGCAGAGGCGGTGCAACTTCGTGTCAAGGGCCGGAGTCTATGTCTGACCAGATTGGATGCAGAATCCGTTGGTTGTTTTCAAGCCATCGGGCCACGCGCAGCCTTTGCTCTCAAGGGCTGTAAGGTAGACCCCCCCGAGGGTCGGATTCTCAAGTCTGCTTGCGGATCCCAGAAGCAGGGGGGCCCAGCTGTCGTCGGTTGGAAGGATGGATATGGGCTCTTTGTCCTCTAGTCAAATGTCAGAAAGGAGCGCCTCTTGGACGTTTTGGAGGAGGGATTGGCTTGTCGTGTTCTTCATTTTGATAGGGCCCATGCTTCGATCAGTGTCGAGCATGAGGTGTGAAGGATGCACCGAGCACGAAAAAATCGCTTTTTTGGCGGCTCTGGAAAGTTGGATTCTGTAGGCAACGGACATGAAATTCACCAAGTCCAGGCGTCCTCTTCTAGGAACACATGGCTGTGGTTGTCAAAACCAATTGGGATCCCATTTTGGTTGGTAGGTGAATTCACCACCCATTTTAGGGTTCCTATTTTTAGTGGTTGGATTGGGATTTGTTCACTGGGGGTACGAATTGGATTTTGACCCATGGCCACATGGCTCTATAACTTAATCTCCAAGTTTGCACCCCCTTTCCTCGTGGCTTTGAAAGGGCCGCTGACATGAACCAGGCAGTTTGGTGCAATCTAAGCCATGTTGAGCATGCTGTGCGCTCTAGGAAACAAGGCCTGCCCATGCTTTTTTCGTCCTTCCGATTCGACAGGTTCCGAATGTGTGGACACCATCTGGGTTTGCCAAGCATCAAGGGATCCCAAAAATGGTTTGCGTTCGGTTTTTGCCTTCAAAACGATTAGGCCAGGTGACAAACGTATTCTTATAGGCGAGCTGCAATGAAGGAGAGCCATGTGTGTAGCATCTGAGAGGAACCCCATTTTCGTAGCCCATTTCAAATCGGTCACCCCAAAATGGACGCCATTTTGCAAAACTCCATTCGGGAGTGTCTTTCTGTTAGGGGATCCCCCCCCCCCCCCTCCCCCAGAAAAAGCAAAAAACAAATTTTCCCTTCAAGCACAACAAATCAAACACTGATGTTACAACCAACCCAAAGGGGCCTTCCCAACACCGCGGCAAAGCCGGCAGGCTATGGAGCTGGGCGCGGCAGGCTATGCCGCGGCAGGGGCCGCCACCGCCGGCTCCGTGGGGATGGGCCTCTTTGGCTACAACCGCGGGAACTACATGATGGACCAGAAGCCACAGGGCACAATAGATTGAGAGCCATTTCCTTTGGCTTTGTGTCTTTTGTCATTTCTTTTTTTCTTTTGGTTTCTGTTCTTTTCTTTTCTTTTCTGTTCTTTTCTTTTCTTTTCTTTTGGTTTCTGTTCTTTCCTTTTCTTTTCTTTGGGTTTCTGGTCTTTTCTTTCTTTTCTGTCTGTCACGAGAGTCCAATTACTCTGTGGCTGTCCTTCAAGAGAGTCTCTTGCTCTGTGCCGGCTGTGCATGTACCCGTGGTTGCTTGAGAGCCCTGGGGTGACCCAATTGAGCTGGGGCGATGGACAAAATCCGCGCTCCTCTTCGCACCAGCACCAGATGGATTTCGGTGGTTTGTCCATCCGCACTAGGATTCGGACAAGTTTTGTGTGCGATCCAAGCAAGCACATTTATCCGAGCAGGGTCTGATTCTGATCACGACTTTGGGAGCTTGGGGTTCCATTCAGTTTGGACAACATGTCCCTTTAAGCCCAGTCGATTTGTTCGGAGGTGCGTCAATTTCAGACCCCAAGCCAAGCCGCTCACGCCCTCTCTGAGGCTGCACTGGTCGCGCTTCAACGCCGGCTTCGCGATGGCCTGCGCGCAGACGGATCAGTACAAGGAGGACTTGGTGGACTTGACGACTTTGACCACCAACCGCATGCACGTCTACGCGGACATCGCCGGCATGACCGCCACCATCCTCACCGCGATTTTCTGCCCCGGCCGCGTGGGCTTGCACACACCCCCACCTCCAGGCGGGATTCAAGGAAGACGCGGGAGCTGGATCTTTCAATTGTCTCAAGCGTATCTGGGATGGCGTTTGACATTCCAGCTTTCCCTTTTGCGTTCGATCAGTTTGGCTGGTCAAATGTCCCCAGCTGCCAGGCTCAGCCTCTGATATCAAGGCCTTTGATGGCGTGTGATACCACAACTGGCAAAATTTACAGCTGAGCTTGCCACTTCGAGGTGGTTGTACTCCTCTTTGGTCCCGTCAAAGGGGGGGGGGCTTTTGTGCATGGTCCAAGGAGAGGCTCCAAGTTTGAACCACCAGACCGCTCCTCTTTGCTTGACACCCTGTTTCAATTGAACCAACAAACCCGCCCCTCTTTGCTTGACCAACACATCCTTTCTATTTTCTTGTTCACACACCCTACACTTTTTTCTCAGGCTGGTTCATGGGCCTCATGATGGTCAACGTGGGAGGGGCGTACATCTGGCTGGGCCTCACCATGTGGCTGGCGATGCACGCTTGCCTCAGGGCCAATGCCGCCACCACCCACATGCTCACCCGCTCCGTGGCCGGAAGCGGTCAGAGACGGGTTTGCCCCAAAACACGAAGGGTTTTGGGGGTCCCTTGCATTTGAGGAAATCCCAACGAACTTCTTCAGGTAAAGGAGACCCACCTGTTTTTATCCCGTGTTGGTCTTGCAACGGAATCAGTCGCTTCGAATACATGGAGGGGTCACTTTAAGGAACACGATCTCGGGGCAAAGTGCAGGGCTCCCTGTGATTGTTGCAGTTGAGTAGCTGGTTTTAAATATCACTCTCCAGCTGCCTTTGTCGCACGGCTCTTGTTGGGCCATGTCTGTGCATTTCCAGAAGCATTTCCGCAAAAGTTTCTTGAAGCAGTTCCGGAAGCTTTTGCGCAAGCATTTCTTGAAGCCTTTTCGCGCATTGCTGCAATCATTTCCGCGACGGGTTTCGGTAGGCTTGGGGAACCCTCCCCCAACCTCGTCATTTTGAGGGTGTCGCCTTCATGTTGAGGGCTTCGCTGCGGAAGCGAAGCCGACGCCCGATTTCAGCTGGATATGGGTGAACAATTGTGGTGCCCCCCAAAAATGCGGGGTGTCAACCCGGCGCCCACGCTTGCACGCCTTCCTGGCGTTCCGTGCCTTGAGGCTTCGTGCGGCTGCCCATCCCCGGGAACTGGATGCTGGACCGGGCGCGGAAGTTCCTGGGCAGCTGGGAGGAGCAGCCGCTGCGGGAGGTGCTGCGCATCCCCTGGACCCGGCATCAGTACCGGGACGACGGCGCCACCTTCCAGGAGACTTTTGCTGGGGCGATGTCGTGCTTTTCTTGCTTGGGGTAAACCCCTCTTTTGGGGTGGTTTTAAAGGGAAGCCGAAAGGAGAACAATTCTTGGGGTCGTCTGGGAAAAGGACAGGGGTTTGGGGGTTGTGGGGGGTTTTGGGAAAAACAAAAAACGTTTTGTGACTTTGATGCTGGTAGAAGAACGGGCCAGTTTTGAATGGCAACCTTGGGAAGTTTGGGTGTTTTGTTGATTTCGGGACGAGGTGTTTTTGGGAAGGAGTGGGGAGGCTATTCCTAAAACAACATCCGTTGGTGGTTTGAACATTGCTTCTCAACTCCTGCCATGCTAACACAAACGGGTGGAGTCCGGGTTGCGAGAGAGGGCGGAAATGTTGGAGGGGAACTCGGGCCAAAAGTCGTTTGTGATGCGTTTTATTCCAGACGGGTTTGGGCAGGGTAGAGGGTGTCTGGCAAAGTTTGACCCGCAAGCTGGTGGTTTTCCTTTTGGTTTCCCTTCAAACAAACCAACCAGCGGTCCCCCTAGGGTTCAACCCCCATTCAAAGAATGGCTGACCCAATTTAGACGAGGATCCTTAGGTAGACCATGGTGGTTGTATGAACCCCACCTTTGTTTGCATGGTGGCAACTGAATATCGAAATTTCGAAGAAGACGCATCCGTTCGCTTCCTTTCGCCTCAGGAGGGCTCCGAGAACATGGAGATCAACGCCGAGGCCCTCCGCCGCACGCGCCATGGAGCAGACGTGCCGGCCTGGTACCGGAAGGCGCGAATTCTCCGTGGAGCGCGCGTCGTGGCGTCGTTGAGGAAAGGCAAACATAAAATTTTCGCCCCCCCCCCCCCCCACCCCAACCACCACCCCCGCCCCACCATGGCCCAAACCCCCCCCCCCAACCACAGCCCCCCAACAACTGCAATAAGACAAATCCCACAATGCCCCGCGAGCCGGATCTGGCTGCGGTTTCGCAGTTTGCGGGTGAAAAGGGAGACATTGGTCAACCACGAGGCCACCAAGCACCAGTCTGAGTGCTTCTTTTGTGCTTGGTTTGCCATTTATTGTTTTTTTTTTCTTCTAGGAATGAGGTTTATGTGTTCCCCTACTGTGGATGGACGAAATCCTGCACCACTTTAAAACGATGGGAAACCATTGTTCGTTGGTATTTACAGGGAACTAATCATTCCAGGGCTTCTTAAATGGTGCAGGATTTCGTCCATCCACAGTATGTACTCGACAAAGGCGTCAAAAAGGATGACTCTTCCTGGTGGCTTCCAACCCTGAGGGTTTTTGCCATAGCTGACACTTTCTGCAACCAGCCTAACAAGTAACGGACCCATGTTTGCCACTACCGGCAATCATGAGGGTTGGCTCCCACTGGAAGGCTAAACTTGCGAAGGCCGATCATGTACGCCTCACAAGCAGCGCCCAAAACCCCTCGATTTTTCTCATCTTAGTGGGTGGTTCTTCTGAATTGGGTTTCGCCTACTGTGGATGGACGAACTCTTGCACCATGTAAGAAGCCCCGGAATGATTGTTTCCTTGTAAATACCAACGAACCATTTTTTCCCATGGCTTTAAAGTGGTGCGATCGGATTTCGTCCATCCACAGTATGTAAACCTTCACCATAGGTCGAACCACACGTCAACAAACTTGGGGCGCTGCTCGCGAAGATGGGCACCCGGCTGCTTTTTCGGCTTCATGACGCAAGCAACCGGCCAAAACAACAGAGCTGCCTATGAAGAGATAGGCTACCCCCAGATCCCTCAGAGAAAGCTACGAGTTAGGTGCTTGCACACCGCCCGGACCCGCCCGCTCTTGTTCTTTCAGTTTCCAAGGTGAGTACTGGCCAGGGATGCAAGCAAGGATTGGAAATGCATTGGGGATGTGTATGGAATTTCCCTTAACGGCGCAATGTTGGGGAGAGAAATCTAGCGGCAACTACCAATGTGCTCCACAACCTAAGTCCCAAAGATTCCTTTATTCCCTACCCAGATCTTTGGACTACTGTTGATGGACGGAATCCACAACACGCACAGGTTGTGATTGGTTGATATGAACAGTTCTTGGATATGGTTTCATCCATCCTAGCTGGTGCATTTTGTAACCATCCACAAAGCACCCAAAAAGGGGATGCTTCTTTGGTTCTGTTTGCGATCCAAAATCGGGCACCCTCCAAAAGAGAGATATAGACTCAAAATGCAGAAAACTTAGCAGGGATGGATGAAGCCACTGGAAACAGTCTTGGGTGTTGACCTAGGAAAACCCCCATGGTGCCACAAATGGGTATGGGTCAACATTCAGCCACCCGGGGACCGCAGGTTCTAGTCTACTTTTCCATTTGCCAGGGCAACGCATTTTGGGCTTGCCCTCTTTTTGACCCACCGCCAAATCGCTTTAGGAGCAGTCCATCGACAAGGGCGAGGCCTTTGAGAGCATGATGCCCTTGGCGGCCCAGGGCTCCGCCCCCGAGCACTTCGAGGTGTACCGGGAGATCCAGAACGCGGCTCAGCGAAGTGGAAGGATGGAGGTTAGGGACGATCTTTCTTATACATAGCTGCGGAACTTTTGGCTTAGTCCTGGAAGCATGGTTCTGGGAGTACGAGCATTTTAGTAATCGGGTTTGTTTGCGACTCAAGCGTTTCTCGTTTCTTCGGGGATCCTGAGAGTTTTGATTTCTTGTGGGGTTCTCAGGTTTTGACTTGTGGTGGTGTCACTTTGAACCAATGTTCGGAGGGTATCGAGGGTGTCGCTTTGACGGAAGCCAGCAGGAGCCCCAATCTTGGCACATGCAGAACCCAAAAACTCAGGGGTGTGAAGGCCATCAGCACATCCAGCACGTTCGTGATACGTGTCAGGGTAAAGGTTCTTGTAGACCTTGTTTAGTTCCCATTACGCCTGGCATTTGAACCTAAATTTGAAGGTACCGACCAGTTTTTATAGTTACATGGGTGCGTTTTTTTGAGGCTACCCTTTTTGGAGTGATTTTCCAATCAAAGAGGAAAACCACAATTCTGGGTTTTGGGGGGAGGTCCATCCTTAAAAAGATGAGCCACCTACATCTTTAGCGCAAAGCGCCAGAGTCACTCCTCGTGAGCCGAGGAGTGGTGGCCCTATGACGTCTACGCCAGGAGCGTCGCCGGTTTCTGGCAAGCGCCGGCGTAAAGAGAAGGGTGGCGTGCTTAAGACAAGTTTCTGCTGACCTTTTTGCCTGTTGGAGAGTAGGGGTTTCCAGAAATGACGGCTCCACTCTTGTGGCTGGTTCATGTGGCTTGTCTATTGCTCAATTATGCCTTGTGCTTGTATCCTTTCCAGAAATGACGGCCACTCTTGTGGCTCCAAAGATACCTTTCTATCCGAAGGATCAGCATCTTCCTGGCCTTCATGCACCTCCTGCACTGCTGGACCTACCAACACATGGGCCACCTTTTCTGCGAGAACCGGGCCGTCTTCGTGGTGGGCCTGGTGTGCATCCCCACCTGCGTGCTCCAGAACATCCTGCTGACGCCACCCGCCAGCAAGGAGACGGTAGGGCCTATATGGCTGTGGGTCAAAGCCAATGGGATCCCATTTTGGGGTAGGTGCAGCGCCCATTTTAGAACCTATTCTTGTGGGGATTGGGATGTTCACTGGGGGTACGGGTTTTTGACCCATGGCCATATCGCATGGATTCCTTAGGAACAAGAGTTGAGAAGCCTTTCGCGTCACTTTATAGTTATGTTTGGACCAAACAAAGAACTACTCCTAGGGTCATTGAAGCAAGCCATTGCAAGAAACTTGGAAAGCTTCAGCTTCAAGCCAACAATTTCTAAGGGCTTGCCTAAAAAGTCCAAAAACAAGAAGTCTTCTTCATTAGTTATAATATATACACACGTACACATGCATACAAAAGTACATACGTACACACACACACAATACATGCAAATAGCATTATACATATATATATATATATTTATATGCATTTGTGTGCTTGTTTTCCTTCAATTGGCCATCCTCAAGCCTGGCACTTCCTCTTTTTGGGTGATCCTAGAAGGATGCCAAGGAACTTCACCATCTATGGGATATTTGGAGGTGTCGATTCCTACTGTTGGCTCCTTCCCACATCTCCTGTCTCCCAAGCACTACTTATCCACTGTCTTCCGTTTAAGGGTCCGGATTTATTCTGGAATCGTCTAGCCTCTGTTTTCGCGCTTGTTTTTCCCCACATAGTTGGTCTTTGTGGGGCGGTGGTGGGTCAGATCAAGTGAATTCGCTATGGGACAATTGAAGTTTGTGCTTCATCGGGGTCCGAAATCCCTCCCATTTTGCCACGAAAGATACGGGATCTCGGATGGACAGACTGTCCGCTGCTCACATCCATTCACACGCCCCTTTTGCGTAGGCTGCCCAGGTTCGTCTTCCTAGTCTGTGGGGAATCGAGAAAGAGCACGTGGATGCCTCAAAGCTTGTGCACTTGCCTAGTCTAGTGCAATCTCGACGAGGAGAAACAAGCTAGGACCGAATTTTGCTAGGTCTTCTAACGTATGTTTCTCTTTTTTCGGCGCACCACGTCCGGACGGGCAAGACACACGCGCATGTGAATCACCAGCAGGGTTCACAAGATTCAACCGTTACAGTCAAAGCCTAAGGAGTCATTTTTTTCTCATTTTTTCCCCGGTGTTTTGGGATAATAATGAGGCTTTTCAATTGTTCATGGAGGCTTCAATTGCCACCCATTCGCTATTTTGCTGAACCCCTGCTTCTTGTGAAGGGTAAATGGGACACCACTCCGGAACACCCCCACCGACAATCGGCTCGATTCGATTGGCACCGACCTTTTAGGCTGGAACTGGGGATTTCAAAATTAAAGGAGCCACCACCGGGATGGTTTTTCTTGGTGAAGCTGGTCATCTCCTTCTTGGTGTCTTATTCGCACGCTGACGTCTCGTCCGATTTCTTAGGCTGGACAAATCACTAGCAGTACCACTCCTCAACTAAATTGCGGATTCGACTCGATCCGATTCGCGGCCTTCGATTTTTGGGCTTTCTCAACCACCAAACCCCTCCTGAACCAAACCAAACCAATGGCCAAACCACCAACTGGGAAGCACACCGATTGGTGTCTCGCACGCCGACCGACTTATCTCTAGAGACCACTCCTGAACCGCTGCAAACCTCCGCTCCGATTGGCACGCTGACCAATTCAGGCTGAGGACCAGATGACACCAAGAAAAACAAGATTATCCTATTTTTTGTTTGTTTTTAGGCTGGACAAGCCACAACCACTACTCCTCTCCCAAACCAACCAAACTACCTTCTTGGTGAAGCTGAGCTCTTCGATTCGCGCGCCGACGTCTCATCTCGTCTCAACCGACTCGTCTTAGGCTGGACAAACCACTACTATCTTTGATTGTACCACTCCTCAACCAAACCGATCCGACTCGCACGCCGCCGTCTCGTCTCGGATTTCGGCCAGACGGTCTGGATTTGGATTTTCCCGCCCCAACTTCTCGTGGCTTCGGATTTCACTTCAACCATCGCGTCAGCCGTCGCGTCACTCGCGATGCTCGCGATCCTCGCGCGATCCTCTCGCGATGCTCTCGTCCGACTGGCGATCTTTTCGAGGCTGGACATCATGCCGGGGATGATCTCGTTCTCCTTTCAGCGGCTGGGCCCCCTGGCACAGCTTGTGGCCTGGGTGGCCCTGGCCATCGAGTACCAGCCCTACTACGACCCCGGCACCGCCTTCATCGGCTACGTGCGCCCGGGACGGCCGAAAGGGCGTTTTGGGGTGAAAGTGCTTGGTGTATGTGGATGGTTTGGAAGTGGTGGGATGGAATTTTGGGAGGATACTTGGAAGGGTTTTTGGAGGGTTTGGTAGTGCTTGTGCGTGGTTTGTTTGTCACGGTTTGGGCTCTGTGTTTTCCCCCAGATATTGTTTTCCCCGCTAAGACAATTCTTGCACATCGATGGACACCGCGTGCTGAAGTGCGCTCTCTCTCTCTCTCTCTGGCTTGCAGATGTGGCAAACTGTGGATTGTGTACCGTTGCCCTCGCTCTTCTCTGGGGACTTTGGGTTTTTCGCATCGCTTTCTCGCGGGGATCTTGCGCGATCTTGCCGAGATGCTCACGAGGGGTCCTCTGGCAAGGGCCTTGCGGCATCCGTCGTTTTTTTTTCTTTTTTTTCTTTCCCACGGCATGCGAGCAATTTGGCGGAGCGAACCGTATTTTTTTTTTGAAGGGGAAATGTGGCTGGGGTCTGACGTGATTCATTGAGGGGGTGGAATGCCGTGGCTGGTCCCTGGTCCCTTTTTGAGGTGTTTTGGAGTCAGGGGTTCGCTCCTGTCCGGCTTGTTTCTCGGAAGCATGAATCAGGCTTCGGCAAACACAAAGGGGTCTCCGTTTTGAAAGAGGAGGGTGTGAAAAGGTTTGGTCCGATTTGAAGCTATCACATTTTTCATGGCTGCGCCTGACACTTAGTTGGACTCCTTATTGTTTGTGGCTTGAAGAAGACGCCAACATGAGAGAAGCCATTTAGACGGGCATCCTGCCCCGCACAAGGAGGTTCTTGACCACAGCGAATCGGGCGAACACGGCCTTTGCGTTTTCCGAAAGTGCCTCATGTGTTTTCCCCCACAGGTCAACATGGAATTGTAGTAAAGGGGCAAGGACGTTTCCGCTGGTTTTGGGGATTCCATGTAAGTTCTTCAGGAGGGTATTTCTGCAACGACCTTTGTTTTTACTTGCTTTCTGGGCAAGTGAGGCTCGTCTACATCACCTACGCCTTCCACATTGCGGCCTGGTGTAAAAGGCATGAAATGGATTGAGACGGTGGAACTCCGGCTGAGGTGGGGCAGGTGAGTGTGGCATCCAAAATGTTGACCCCAGAGGCTCCGAATTAAAGCGTAGGTGGGGAGGATGGCGGAAATGCGAGACATGGTTTCCGATTGGGCCATGAGTCAAAATGAAAGGGACCACAGGTTTTAGTCCTTGTTTCCATTTACCAGGGTTCCATTTGGGGTTGCCCTATTTTTGACCCACACCCAAGTGGGAATGTCTCATGAGAAGACTCGACTTTTTCTTCAACGAGGAAAGCTGACCTTGGCGCTTGTCCAGCTTTTTGTCCACCTGGCTGGCTGGCAGTCGCTTATTGTCCGCCCACCCCAGCCAAACACGGGGATACCATTTCGATCAATCATTGTGTACAAATACTGTAAGCACCTACAAGTGCCCTCTGCAATGTAGAAAACAAGAAACGCATCCAAACGTGTGCCCTTGTTTATGCAAACACCTTTTTGCGCATGTTTATTTCTGTGCGCGGTTTGTTCCATACAGGGTCGTTCGCAGTAGTTCCCTGTTTTTGTTGGTCAAATTCTCTACTGCTTGTTTCAGGTGGTATCGGTTCGTTGTTTTTGCCTCACTGCACGCCCGTCTGCAGTTTCCATTTTCCATGTATCTCTGCTGGATTTATCACGGTTTTCTTCCTTCACACTTTTTCCTCGGTTCTCCCCGGTTTCTGATCTTTTCCGTTCCTGTCTGCCAGTCCTTTTACCCGGCTTCCTACATATTTGATTCCTCCGCCTCTGTCTCCTTTCAAAATCGTTGCCTTGACTGGGCAGTTGGCAAGCCAGAGTGTTCCTAACATGGAGCCTCGTAGGCGGGTTTATGTTTATTTTCAATTGAAAGCATCCAAAGAGGAGGATGGTCCTCATCTTGGGAGACACTTCAAGTGAGTTCCTCAGACTTCTAAACAGGTTTCAGACCTCGTCCCTATGTCGTGTTTGCCCCAGGCGAAGCTGACTTGAACATGGGCTGAACCATTGTTAAAGTCGTCAGAAAAAATGTGGGGAAGTGCAACAAGAACCGGAGAGTGGGGGCAGGAACACTGCAGTGCACGCCTTTTCACCCAAACAGGCTGTGGGAAACATCCTGCCTGGCATCCAGTGGGGACTTGCAGTTGGGTGCAAGCATGCCGATTGAGCGGCCGTGCAAAATGATGTACAACGTCCTGTGCCTCTTTGATGCTTCCTCACCCTCGAACGTTGTCCACTCCGTTTCTGTCTTTTGGCAGAAACCAAGAAGGCAAATCATCCAGACGGGGGTGTTGTGCCCAAAGTGCGTAGCTGCGGTTTCTCCAGAATTTGCCAGTTCCCTCGGGGGCGGGCGCTGCATTTCCTGGCGCCTCACGCTGCAAAATCTCCGATGCTGTTCAGTATCTCTCTTCGGACTCCTGCTTATTGGGTCGTGTTTTTAGGAGCATTAAGTGGGGTTCCATTTTGTTTGCGGGTTGAGGGAAACTCTATCCCATTGACCCAAATGGGCTCCATTTGAGTATCCCTAGTTTCCCTCGAAACCAGCCCGAAACGGGTATTCTTCTTCGCCTCAGCCCCAGATACTTTGGAACGGCCAACACCGCCCTGCATGTCCAAATCCCCGAGAAAAACAACACCATCAAAAGAAAAGAAGAAGCCAAACAAATCCCCCCCCCCCCCCCAAAAAAAAAAAAAAAGAAACACCATCAACCCCGAAAAGAAAAGGAAGGAAGCCCCCAAAAAAACGCCCAAGAGAAAAACAAGAAAAAACCACAAACAGAAAACAAAGCCCCCCGCCCAAAACCGGCGATCGAGATCTACACGCTGCAGCTGCTGCGGATCTGCGCCCCCGACTTCTCGGCGCCGGACCAGGCGGAGGTGCCGGCGGGCACCTGGTGGCCCGGGCAGTGGCGGCTCCCCAAGGCCTGGAGGGGTGGGATGGCCGGTTGGGGGGGTGGGGTGGGGTGGGGTGGGGTGGGTGGGGTGGGGAAAATACATAAAACGGCAATTCTAACCTGAAAATTATTTTGAACAAGTATAGACACATTATAATAAATTACCTTATTCATTTACAATAAAACCCCTCAATATTACATAAGGTTAATACATCATTATCATCTATTAACCTTATCTAATTTACCAATCATTGTTCCTCAGCTTGTATCTTTCCTAAATTATGTTGATGCTTTGTTGTATTAAGATGTCTTCCAAAATGCCCTTGACTTATTGAACAATTGCAAACATCACAACTAACAATATATGTATTTCTCCTATAAGTCCTTTCCAGTTTCTTTTTTCTATACTCCTCATCGTTTTCATATCTAATTCTTTGTTCCTCGTTCATTCTCTCCCTATGTCTATTTTGATAGTCTCTTTGAGCTTTTAAACACTTATCACATCGCATATTATCACCACTGAAACTTTCCTTAGACTTATCATTTTTACACTTTGAACACTTTTTCACTGCTTCCATCCTTATCATAGAACTACCGTATTTCTTTAAAGGCGTTTCCACGACTAAGAAAGAGTCAGCCAAATCAAGGAAAAATGAAATATTTCAATCTTTACAAACTATAAGTACAGTATAATTATAACATATAAGATTTTACATGTTATTATTATAGTATGATTATAATTTCAGTACAGGATAATAATTTAATTGACAAATCTCATTTATTTCATACATCATTTTAAACATAATATTAATATCTCTCACTGTATTTTTAACATTAAACTTTTTATAAATTTCAATATAAAATTTAATATATTCTTTAATATCTTGTCCTTTCTTTTGACTATGACACAACATCAATAATATATCAGCAATCATTACATATTTTTTCTTACTGATTTTAAGAAACTGTTTAACATATTCATAAGGTGGTAATTTATTTACAGTTAGAAATATTAAAATCTCATCTTCTACATTTCTATTATGTCTCCCTTTTATTCTCAACAGACATTTGATTAAAACTTGATTATCTCTCCATTCCTGACAAATTTTACATTCATCTTCTTCATCCATTGAATAATTAATAATATTATTCACTATTTCATTAGGTAAATTCAATTTATACAATTCCATATTTTCTTTTTTGAAGTGACAACAATCATAGCATTTTTTATTGATATAATTATTGATTTTATCACCGTTCATTTTCCTCTTATTATATTAAGGCACTATTTCTTTAAGTCATTTTTAAGGCATTAAGAAAAATAAGAAACAAACCATAAGTTCAATATAATTATAACATATAAAATTTTACCTGTTATTATTATAGTATGAGTTCAACTTATTAACTCAGTTACATAATGCTTCTTAATTATTTTCATTATTTTATCATCCGTCTTATCATTGTAAAAATATTATTTCCTATTGATTTTTTAAACCATCCCATTGTTCTAATTGCTATCACCATCATCCAATCCCACGATTCCCATCGTCCAATCCCACGATTCCCATCGTCCAATCCCACGATTCCCATCGTCCAATCCCACGATTCCCATCGTCCAATCCCACGATTCCCATCGTCCAATCCCACGATTCCCATCGTCCAATCCCACGATTCCCATCGTCCAATCCCACGATTCCCATCGATTCCCATCGTCCAATCCCACGATTCCCATCACCCAATCCCACGTTTCCCATCACCCAATCCCACGATGTCCATCGTCTAACCCCTTAATTTACAATAATGAAATAACATTGAAACCCATTGCTTTTGCAACAAGTCCAACACTGCCTGTCCCGCTAAACATCTCTAATAAGTTCATTATTAAAGATATTTAGATAATATTATCTATGAATAAATCCCTGATTCCTCGTTAAAAACTATGTTTAGTTTTCAATGAGTAAATGCAACTTTATGAATAAAGTTGCGTTTCCTCGTCATAGTCAATTTGATAAAATGCCATAGTGGAAGACTTCGGTTCTTTAATTTCTTTGTTATTAAGTTTGTTTAAATACACTTGTTTCTTATTTTTATATTCACCATTGGTTCTATCTACTTCTTTACTTTGATAACTGTTTGTTACTGGTTTCTTCTTTTCCATTTCTTGCAAGATTTCTAAAATATTCTTATTCTGTTCTAAAACCTTGTTCAGTTTTTTAACAATCTTTTCTATTCCTTCATCCATGTAAATATATACTAAATTATAAAACTAAACTTTTAAAACTAAACTTTATTTTACGAAATCATATATCATTATAAGTCAATTCAAAATTAGTTATTGTGTAACTCGTTAAATTATTATTCAATTTACCAATTAAATTACAAATAATAGTTTTTCTAAATTTTGAATATTTATGAAACTTTTCAATATTATCTGTAATATAAATTATTAAACATTTAATACATTCAAACACATTAACAACATTAATGTTACTATTTTTGTAAATATTATTCATTTTTCTCAATGTAATTTCATAAAACTGAATAGCATTTTTATTATCATAATTAGCAATAAATCTTAAAGTATATGAATATATTCTTTTACAATAGAATTTTAAATCTGATTGTTCAAATAAATCAGCATAATTAATAGAATTATAAAACATGTTAAAATCAATTTTACTATTTCTAAAGTCATTAACAAAATTAATTAATATATCATTTTCGTTATATTCTTCAATAAAATTATTTAATTTCAATTCTTTTACATCAATGAATTTAATAATATTATTTATAACATCTTGCATTATAAATAATAATAGAAATAATTTTAACTATTATTTTTTCATCATTCTTTCTCAGGTGTAAATAACCTACCAAATCCACTTTTGAAGTTTTCTACCCAACTTTCTTCAACTGTGCTACCGTCAGCATCTTTCTTTTTTACTGTATGTACTGTGTGCATGTTTCGACCACATGAACACGGCCAACATTTAACTTTGACATGTTCTTTATCTAACTCTAATTCATTTAGTGGTTTAATTGCTTGACCGCATTTATCGCATTTGACACATTCAATCTCTTTTTGTTTCTCTTGCTTCTTCTTTGGAGGCATTTATATTAATATTCACATTTTTATTTTTGATATATTGTATCAAAAACTTAATTAATCCTAAAATAAAATAACATATTTTTTTACATCTATTATTAGTTATAACAACTTGTTCTATATTCTCTACTTCATCTATTATATCAATATAATCTGAATAACTTCTATTCATATAAAATAATAAATATTAAATTATTTTCTAAATGTCTTTAATATTATTTTTATTATGCCTGATGTAAAACCAATTGATGAAATCAAATATGACTTTAAGCAAAGTAAGCACGAGGTCGTCCCTAAATTGCCATTCAGAAGTATCATAACTGGACCGTCAGGAAGCGGTAAAACAGTTTTATTGATTAATATGATACTTGATATATACAAAAACTGTTTTGAAAGAATATATATTTGGTCTCCTTCAATCAATGTTGATAGTGTGTGGTTGCCCGTTAAAAAATATATAAAAGAAGAAATGAAGGTGGATAATGAAAAAGAACCTTACTTATTTGAAGAGTTTAAGGCAGAAGATTTAGAACAAGTGATAGAGACACAACACAAAATAACAGAATATAGTAAAAGAAACAAATTAAGAAAATTGTTTTCCATATTGGTTATTTTGGATGATATAAGTGATGACCCTAAGGTGGCGAGACATAACAAACTGTTAAACTCATTGTATGTAAGAGGACGCCATAACGGTATATCAGTAATAACAAGTATTCAGAAATTTAATACATTACCACCATTAATTAGAGTAAATGCTACACATTTGTTCTTTTATAAAGTGAGAAATTTTAAAGAAATTGAGTTGCTACAAGATGAACTATCAGCAATTGTTAGAAGAAACAACTTACACGAAAGCAAGAAAGTAATTTATGATTTATATGAAACTGCTACTGACGAACCACATAGTTTTTTGTATATTGACCTTCTCCAAAAAGACCCAAACCGTATGTTTCTTAAAAACTTCTCACATTATTTGAAAATTACTAATTAAATAAATAAATATATTAATATTATATGATATTTTATGATTTACCATTAGACATTAAAAACCTTGTAATATCGTATATTTTAGATGATGTTAGATTATTAAAAATAAAAAATAATAATATTATTAAAAAATATATTAATAAATTTAAACCAGTGTATAAGTCTTACAAATTAAAGAATTCACAATATTTTGAAATTGATAATATCAATATTAATAACGGAATATCATATATTTTTAATTTAAGTGAGTTAGATAAACTACATCAAAAACATAAACCATTAAAATTATTAATTGAATATGATATATTAGCAAAATCTACATCATTCACTTGTTTGAATCATGTTCGTAATCGTACTTTAACATCAAATAATTTATTTGATATTTATTATTTTCTTAATAAAGACCTTTATGAAACTAATTTAGTGTATAGCCGTAATATGGTTAATTTTATTTCATTACAAGTGAAAAAAATAACTATTAAAGTCATCAATTATGAAAGACAAAGTTTTATTAGTAAATTTTATTCATATTTGTTTAATTAATAATATTAATATTTTTTTAATATTATTAATTTAAAATAATGAATAACTACAAATTTGAACTGGTAATTTATATATTAATTTGTCACATTTTACTTTCTCAAGTTTTTCTAATCTTTCACTCATTTGTTTAATTGCTTTTAACTGTAATTTATCAATATTACTTAAATCTAATTGTTCTATATCAATATCATTAATTTTATCAATACTTGAAGTTTCAACATTACTGTTCGAATTACCCATTTATATATTATTATTTTAGATTATAATATAATAATAAATACTCACAGGAATTAAAATAGGCCATAATAATCCCCAAGCTACGAGGTCCAGTGCCTTTCTATACTTATCTACTCGTCTGTGGAATTTCTCTTCTTTCCTTTGTTTTTTTA